TGACGAGGGACAAGGTCGCATCAATCATTCAATATGAAAATTAGTTGAAGGATGAGAGGAGCCGGGTAAAATGGATAACTTTCCTTGTACTACTGATTCGTCCTTGTTTCTACTGCGATGTATGTCCGGTAAAAATAAACCGTAGGATTTTCACACGCGATTGAGTGAGAAACGGGGGGTCTGCGGTGGACTCGTGATCACACGTGATGCCAAAAGCGGTTTGACCTTATATATTTATAAAAAAAAGAGATGTCGAGATATGAGGAATTGAGTTTCGATCAGAATTTTTTTTTATCAATCCTGGATAGTCGATTCATTCCTTACGTCTCTCAGATCGAAGCAGTAATTTTTTTCTTGAGATTTCACTTTTTTGTTGATTTATTATTAATGGAATGAACAATTGGTTGATAAACAATTCTTATCCGAAGTAATTTATCCTCAAGAGATGTGATATTTGACGCAAGACAATAGTTTTGTATTATGACGATATTTTATTTCGTGAAATAAGATGAATTGAACATTGTGTAATTAACTTCAATTATTTATTTGAATATTCCAAATGAGGAGGTCACAATATTCTAGTTCCTTTTTGATACTTTTGTCCCAAATAAATTCTTATTTTGTATTATTAATATTACGCAATGTCAGTATAAAAATTTTTACTCCTCAAATCTTAACGGGAGAAACTATTATGTGAATTGATAAATAAATATAATTAGCTCAATGCTTCCAAATACAATTAAATTGACAAATATAAAGAGTAAGAGAGCAAGTTCAGTTGAGTAAGGTGCGAAGTGACTCGCCGAATCGCGAGTGCTACATTTGGAGAAATTAATAAATTCTTTCACTCGTCCTGGTCAATTGACGCGGGGCATTCAAAGGACAATTGAATTGACCATTACACACTCAACCGTACCAAAGCGCCACAAACATCATAAATAAATGCGATAGAAATAGGGCAACATGGGCGTTGAAAGGAGTGTCGCATTGGCATCTGCGGATTGCCCACAGGGAGAGAAGAATCATCGAGCCGCGACCGAAAGGAGATTAACCGCGTCCTTCAACGACCTTACTGGTCCCCACGAACGCCTTCGTCGTCAAATACCTTCACTTTCGCGTCCCCCAGTCCATGATTAACCGCATATCAACAATCTCCCTCCACCCTCTGCCGTATCGATCGGTTTTTCCATAATTCCCTCCCGGTCTGTTGATTTTTAAAGAATAATTCATTTCCCATGAATGGGCACATTGCGCGGGTCATGGTACAAGAGCGCTGGGCGTTGGTATTCAAGCATAACTTTTCCACGCACGTGTTTTCGTGCTCCCCTTCGCACGAGAATATTACAAGGTGACGGCTTTGATGCCCAGACACACATTCACGTGGAGGAGAACGTGATGACATCCGAGTCCCGTGGAAATTGTCACTTCGGGGGGAATTTGGAATTTTTGGGATGAAAAATTCATGAAGTTCAGAATTTTTTTTAGCTATTTCAAGTGGATGTGGTTGGGGAGGATATTGGGGGACATTTTCTGGAGAGGATTTTCCAGTGGGAGGAGATATTGATCGATGTTAATCGAATTATTCAATTAATAACAGATTAATTGAATTACCGTGTGAGCTAACTAAAAATTATGTTTGAGTATCAACATTGAATTTCAGAAATTCAGACTCTAAAGTGTGTTCCAGAAGGAATTGAATTGTAATTATGATTACAATCAAATCATCATTTACTGTAATACGAAAATTAGTCATCGTCGTTGACGTACATAAATCTTCATTTTATTTACATAAAATATATTAAAAAATATCTTACACTGTCCCAATTTATGTTTAAAAAATATATAAAATGGATGGTTATGTTTTTGAGCCATATTATGTTTTTTTTTTATGGCGGGGCTTTTTTTCGTGTAAAGTTCGTGATATTTTTGCTCGGAACTTGCGTTGACCCGTTGGCCACCGTCACTATTATCGCCGCAGGTGTGTTACTACGTGGTTTAACAATTGATCCTGACGTGGGTGTTCGCCTGACATTTCACCCCACGAGGGATGAAGAGCCGCAAAGAAAACGCCAACAAGGGCAGTCCATGAAGGAGGGAAATTGGAGCGGAAATAGTTTTTTCATGAGGATAAACTTGGTTTCTTGCGAAAGTGAGGAAGTTTCACTTAATTGATTCCTCGTTTTATTTCGACACTTTGTGTTGTCTTCGAGGGGACGGGGGTGACGCTGAGGGGTGGAAATGCCCGAGGCCGAGCTCTCAAGTAGTTAAATGTCAGGCACGTGGTGGGTGTACATGGATTTACATCTGTTCGGAATAATTGCGTGCATCCAATTAGGATCTCGGGCTCTTCGAGGGGTAATACTCCCCCGCAGAGGTTTAAACTGCATCAGGTGGCGCTTACTCCATATGATCAAGGGGTTTCGGTGGATCTACTTGTCGACAATAATTTAAGGAAGTTAATTCCGCTCATTACATTGAATATATTCAACCAACTTTTTCTTTCAATTTTTTCTGTTTTCCGCATAATTTAATTTCGTGAGTTGACATGGGGTTTTTGGCCTGAGAAATTGTTTTCTTGCTCGAAAGAGTTAATTCTCATTCAATTGATTAAAATAACGGTCTTTTCATTATTTAATTTCTCCATTCACGTAATATTTTTAATTCTCAACGACTATTTTCGTTTTTGGAAGTAATTCTTCAGTAAATTTGTTGTGGATCGAAGGGCTACTCACTTTCAAAATCAATTTTTTCCAGCAAATAACGGACGAAATACTGTGATCACGTGAAATCTACTTTGTTACAATGTCATTATATCGACGCATTCCCAAAATAATATTTTCTCCTCATTTCATCCAGTTCTTCCGCTTGAAAAAATTATTCAGGGTTAGAGAGTGGGAGAACGCTGAGGGGGGATTATTTTTTATTGTCGGAGAAATATTTATCGTGACGGAATGAAAGCCAAACATGTTTGGATGTCTATCTTCAGCACGGCGACCCACGCATCTCTGCTCTATCGATTTCCATCGATAGCGCGGGGAATGTGGTGTTGGGTAAAGGACTCTGCTACCCACACACTCGTCGACTATTCACTCCTCATTGTTCGCAAAAGTCCGTGGAATTTATCAATCATCAAACGGCTATTTTAATTGATAGGGTAATAGTTACACTATTAAAAATCCCACGAAAATTGAGAACTCTTGTTGTGACGAATTTCAATTTTCTCAATTAATAAAAAATGTTGAATTGGATAAAACCTGGAAAATAATACCCCCCAAAATCAGTGTATGTCTGTGTATCAGTTATTTTCATCCCGAATGATCATTAACTTCAATGAAAAACATTCGAATAAACCCAAAAATTATGGGACGAAATTTCAGATTTTTAGCTTCAACTTTAGTCCTTTTTCTGTGAAGATTTATAAAAATTTTCCGAATAATCACACACACATCCGGCCGTCCATATATTTTCTAATAACATACCTTCACGTTTCATGACATTCTACGTCATTTCCCAAGCCTCCACTCAGAATCAAAATTATGAAAAAAAATGTTTTATAAATTTCATTATTCTCATTCCGCAATTCCCCACAAAAAGCGTTTTTTAAATAATTCTTCTCGAATCTAAAAATATCTTTCCCTCGAGATCTAGAGCATCCGTATTTTTTCTTCGTTGATAAGAATATTTTGTCTGCAATAAAAAAATTATGCCCGTGATTTTTATTATCAGAGCGACTGAAACCCCCTTAATCTTCAGAAAAGCTGTACGAGGACAAGAATATACGACGCGTGGTGAAAATTTCATGAGACGACCGCTTTTACGTTGTCCTCGTTGGCAGTAGCTTACTAGGCATTTCTTTATTATTACCCTCTTTCTTCTATTAATGTGAGAAAATCTATAATGGGACGACACCCGCACGGGTTATTGACTGGGGCTATACCTCCAGTGACGTGAAATGACGAACATAAATTTTTGTCGTTAAAATATCTGATGTATTTTAAAGTCGATCGATTTGAGAAAATCTTCACATGCATTGGCTCTGTTTACGGAAATTCTGGAGTGTTCAATCTCTATGAAATTCTTTGTTATGAACGTCAATCAATGAAGTAGTCGTGCGTGAATAATTATGGAGTCACGCTAAATAATCAGTTAATTCAACATTTTTCGAAGAAGATAATTTGAAGGTTGCGAAGATGTGAGAATAAAGAAAAAAATGTGGGGGACGATAATTCAACATTTTTTCACTAATTAGGAATTTATTTCATAAATAAGTAGTTTGAGAAGGCAATATCGTCAGACATTTGCCCAGAGTTCAACAACGTCAGTGAATTAATTAATTAAATGAGTAAATACATTACAAAACTTGAAAATCAACTCAATTAATCTACAATTCTCCCAAATTCTTCATTACGAACGGTCATTGATTAATTAATCATCAGTAAATTATTCTTAAATGATATTAAATCATATTAAAAATTGGATTTATTAAATTAACTAGCCATTAGCTTTCGAGGGCGCTGATTTTATATTTATGACGATCTAAAAATGAGTAAGTGCTGTATCGAATTATAATTTAACTTTTTTAAATGATTTGGAATTATTCTGTAATGAAGTGGTTTGAACAATATCATCAGGTATATTTTTTAGTTTATGAACGAGTTGGAAATTACCACTCCACTCATTTTCCAACTTATCACTGCACTATTGAACTGATTTCATTCAATTCTTGCAGTTAAATATGAATTTTCGATTGAATACGGGAACAATTCCAGTGACATCACTGGGTCGCAAGAGTCTGACTCACCGTCCCCATTAATTTACGACTAGTCTCATGATCGAGTGATTAGATAAGCATATTTATTCTCCCAATACGAGACAACTCATCGATTTCGCGTGATTCCTAGCGTCACGTGAAGTCACATTCTCTTTTCTTGAGTCAAATACCAGTGACATGAATAAATGTAATCGACCTTGTGTGATGAAATTATTCATTTTTTTTGCAGTTTGGATGGGAGGTCTTGTAAAGATGAGATCTACAGGATGGGTCTCGGCAATGGCTACTGCGAGGGAAATCTCAACTTTACTACTGCCTCGGAGGATGATGAGATTTATACGAAGAAGAAAGTATCGAGGGTGAGTTCAAATAAAACTGCATTAATTAATTTTTTTGCATCATTAATTTTTTTCATTATTTAATTATTTTTCAAGCTGTCATATTAAGGATATCCAAGTACTTTGGCTATATTTCAGGGAGTCTTTCTCGAGTTGCAATCGAACGCACGATTTCATGGTTCATGTTTCATAGAATGGTATTCAATTCGATTCGAAAATAGAATTAAGTCTAGACACATCATTTTTAAATGAGTAAATTCCCTCTAATAAAAAAATTCAATGGATCGTTGTTTTATATATATTCATACACGTATATTAATTAATAATAATAATAATAATAATAATAATAATAATAAATAAAATAATAATAAATTCACTCATTTCAAATTCAATAATTATATTTCTAATGACAACCTAATCGTTTCTACAAATACCTGAGGCACGTAAGGTAGAGAACACGTGCGCAGCCTAATCTAGTAAAAACAAATTTTTGAGAAACCTCTGATGTGTCAACGAAAATCGAAAAAACTTATCGTCATGCAGCAGTCACGACGCTGGTATTTCCTGTGTCACAAACACAAGTGACACCTCAGGCTGTTGTATCACGGACTCGTCGAGTGTACGACCCATCTGAAAATGCGTTTGTTGTCATTAATAGATTATTATCAGCCCTCCCAATTAGAGCGACGTAAGACGTCAACCCAAATTAAATCTGAATATCCGCTGAATAAACGTCAATTCAATCGTATTCTCGGTTTATTTACGTTATCCCTTGCCAATGTCCATTCAGGAAAATGTTGTTACGTCATGGCTGACGACGTAATCTTCGTAAGTCAATTGTCATTATTGTTTTCATCGGTTATTTCCGTTTTCATTATTTTTATCGTTTCTTTGATTATTTTCGCAATAAGTTTATTTTTAAATTTTTTGTTGGAATCGAAAATTATGGGAGTTGTTGTTGGTATTTATTATTTTTATTTTTGTTTTTCGTTTTTTTATTCGGGGGTTCGCTGTCTTCTTTAGTTGTTATCGGGAATAATCTCATCTTTCTCTTCCTCTCTCCTCCAATTTTTTCTATTATTAGTGTTATGAGCGTTTTCCTTTAGCCGTTATGCACGCTATAAACGGCACGTGTAACGACACGGGTAACTCATGGACGTCCGGCCAACTTTTCCATTGGAATGAATTTGTACTAACCATTGCGCAATTTTTCATGTTTATTCCAGGGAGTCTTATTATTTTTAAGGCGAGGAGAAATTATGGTGATGGGGGAGAAATTTTTGTGACGGGATAGGAGTGGGGCAGACGAATACGCGGAGAGAATATAATAAATAAATATTGCTGTGTGAACATAGTCATCGAGGACTGTACCGGAAAAACTTAGAAATTTGATTCATTTCTCACGATTTGACAGAGTGATTTTTAACGGATAAAAGAGTATAAAATGCGGGGATGATGGAATAATTTTCAAAAGTGTGGAAAAGGCTTCATTTTCTTACCAATTTTTACTGTTGAACGACGAGAAATTAAGCAAAGCATATGAATTTTTATTGTGTTGAATTATAATTTTTTTCGCGCCTCCTACGTTTTACTCGAGAAAATTGCAGAAATTACTGTGTTGAATGGTAAAAACTCCAGCGGACAAAGAAGATTAAATATGGTTTTTCGCTTCGATTATTCACAAAATCCCCCTCTCCCTCCTTCTCTTCCGTGAATATTCATTTTTAAAGGGGTAAAATAATTTTTAACTTTCTTTCGTGCAGTACATTTTTGTTGCTATTGCGATTATCTCGGAAGTGAGTGGATTTACGAAGAAATGACGGAAAAGATTTTTTGTAACGGACAAAATTTTCCACAAAAAATGTTTTATGATGTTTCCTCCCAGGATCACTTGTTGTCGAGATAATTCCATATTTATCAAGATCGGGAAACTGCGAAATTCGAAAAGAAGTTAGAAAACGTAGTTCACCATTTTTGTTGACTATGCAATTACCTCGCAAATGAGCAGATCTAGGAGAAAATGTCAAATAACTATTTTTGTAGCCGAGGGAATTCCCGACAAAAAAGTCCAATGCTGTTTTCTCGTCGAATCGCTTATGCAGGAGATACGATCGATCATACGGACGGGTTTTTCTTGAGCTTTGATGGCCTCAATTGACGGTTTCTTATCAAACAATAAAAAAAAATTGTTTTTCGTTATTCTTCCGATATCGGCGACTTTTTATTCGTGGATTAATGTCTGTAATTGTGAAGGTTAACGTACGACAAACGTTTTCGAAGGGCGGACATTGAGCGAAGTCCCGGCTGTCTCGTCACGGCCTTTTCTACTGCAGACTAACGTAGCACTAGTACTAGCGGCGCGCCGCATTTTTTTCGATGTTTTAAATTGCATTAAATCGTAAGAAAAAATGGCGATTTAATTTCAATTCGCCACGATTTTCTCGGTAATTTTTCTCCAACTTCTCTCGCCGTGCAAATAAAAAAAAAACGTCAGCACTGAAAACCGCACAGGGAAGCCCCGGTGCGCTAGAGTCGCGACTCTTCTCATAACTCAATCGATTAATCTCCACCGCAGTTTGTCCACTTCTCGCTGCAATGCGATAAAATAAGTAAAACAACTGAAGGAAAAAAAAAGTTGTTTACATTTTCTTAGCGACATTGGAGGGACCTCGCACGTACTGTCATTGAGCCATCGCGTGCAATTAACATCCCCGCATAAATAAAACGTGCATCGCATCTTGTTGGAACACGTGCGGCCGCCAGACGCCGAGTGAGACGATGAGTTTAACTATTCAAACACAGTAGGATGTATTTTTCCATCACATGCTCGAGAATTTCCGGGAATCAGTTGGGGCTGAATCTAGTCGGGCTCCAGTCGGGGCCAGGGATTTCTGCGGCATTTACATTCAAACAAATTTTTTTTATCTGGTTTTATTTCGTTGTTTGATTGCTCGTTGGGGAACATTTTTCACTTCAGGTTGTGTCGACGCAAATATTTACTTTAGAACTTCTTGGAAGTTAATTGTGACGGTGAATTCGCATGATTTTCCTGCTATTTTATCGTTTGAACTTCGTGACTCTATGAAGAAATTTTTCTTTGGTTTTTTCCGTTATTTTTTATTGTTTCAACGTTTGTGAGGATTTTCAGTTGTTGAATTTTAACAGAAATTTTTCGCCGCGTAGAGGAACGGTGAAGAAACACATTTCCGCCGAGTGAACGTTGATTCTGTATTTTCTGGCCCGCCTAATGCCCCTGAGACTCTCACTTGTCCGAGAAATGTAGAAATGAAAAAAAATTTTTTTTCACCCGGAGCCAAAGTGCCATATTTAGGCTTTTTTCGGGGGGAAAGTCGACTTTCGCCAAAATCGAATTTTTCCGCCGAGTGAACGTCGATTCTGTATTTTCTGGCCCGCCTAATGCCACTGAGACCCTCACTTGCCCCGGAAATGCAGAAATAAAAAAATTTTTTTACACGAGGAACTGTACATAGTCCCGTCAGTCTTTTTCATAAGTTGCTCGGGATTCATAAAAGGGGTTATGAAGCAATAAGAAATTATTTGAACACATATCCGTAAACATTAATATGATTTATTTAAAAGAAGAGCCTTTAAAATTTTGTAATTCAAGGCTCGGACCAAGCCTTGGCGGCAAGCATTGTTTAAGCCTTATGGACTAAGTCTGAAACGAGGTTATCATTTTGGGGCTGAAGGAGGGCTGATCCAAGGCTGAGCTTCAGCCTTGGTTGATTTCCAAACCTTGCTCCAGGGCTTGATGAGTCCAGTTTCTACCGTCAATTCCTACCTGGGTGAAAAATCCCCTGAACTATCCGCGAGACTGTCACTTGATGAAAATTTCCAAAAATTTCAGTCAAATATTTCAATACTAATGATTAAACTTTAGTCATTGATTTTCCCATCGGGTCCAATTGCGGGGCCGTATGGGTCATGATGTGGACTTTGTCGTACTGAATTTCCTTGAGCGTTTGATCACGTGACCCGTTGGAGAGCCTGACGAGGAGAATTATCATTGTATAATGTGACGATGACGCCGTTGTTATTATAAATCACTGTTTTCGTCGTGGAGTGCACGCCACTGGCTGCGGTGTGTCTATTAATACACGGCACTCGTAATTAGCGCATTCAAACAAGGAAGACGACGTCATTGACAGCCGAGACGATCATGTGACGTTCAATTTCTTTTCCCGTTCGCGCAGTGTTTTCACACTGCGAATCCAAAATCGCTGTTTGAAATAAATGTCTTTCGAGGGAAGACATTGCTCGGTTTTTATCAAACTGTTCATCATTTGAGGTGGAATTTCCGGTGGAGTAAATAAAATTAATGATTTCTGAGAAATTCCAGTATTTTTTTAGATGACAGAAACATTAATCAAAATTAATTATTTAGTAAAAATTACGGAACTGTTCACGTAATTCGCAATGGGGAATCGTTTTCCGGCAATTTTTGTAGGAATGGAAGAGAAGAAATCTTAAACGTTCAGTGAATTTTCAGGTTCATCACCGAACAAAGTACGAAATTGTCACGTAATTTTTCCCGAAGAAGTAAAATCTTACAGAAACTTGGCGACTTATTATGCCTCCAAAATCAAAAATTCTTGAACGTTCAACAATTTTTATGAAGCTGGTGAGTTATTTCTACGTTCCGTTCCGTAAAATCTACGTTTCGTTCCGTTCCGGAAAAAAAGTCAAAGTACTTAGACATCCTTAATAACAATCTGTTCAACTATTCAGGAACGTGTCACGTGTTTGAAATAAATTGAACTCATCTTCATTAATGGAAATCTTTCCTCGTAATCATTATTATTTCCTTCTTCCCCACTCTTCACAAAAATCGTCAAACGTCAGAAATCGTTGGAAATCGCGTGAGTGTTTTCCAAAACAACCGATCCCACTGGAAACCCATTAAATACGTAAACTCGTGTGAAATGTAAATGGCGCACGAGACGACGAAGTTATCGAGTCGCAACGCCGGGGGGCGGGGGCTCGACGAAGATGTGTTGGTGGAGGCTGAGGGATCCGGTGAATCCCGGTTATCGTATGAAAAACACGGGGGGGGGGCAGCTCAGGTCATCCGTGGTGATAAACTGGACCATAATAACCATCCATTCGCACTTGGGCACAGAGTTCAACTCGACTGGTTTACACCGGATTTATTCTTATCAGAATCCAGCCCCATTTGACGTTAGCTTCTGTTTAACACTTTTTTCTCCCCTTCTGCACTCGCTTATCGCCACTCGTGTTGGCATCACGCGCTACGCGTGGGCCTAACGAGCACTTAATTGAGGAAAACAACGGGATTGCATGAATATTGGGATGAAATCTTATTGACAAAAATGAATGTTGAATTTGCATTCCCAATTTAATTTTCAAGACTCGATAGTATTTTTACACATCATATTGTTTATTTCATTTTAGTAAATTGAATAAGATTTCTTTTTGACTAATTTTGTTTTAGTTGAATGTTATCATCATTATTATTGTTATTATCCCTTTCTTCTATGCAACCGATTGTCTTTTTTACGGTTCTAGATTTAATAATAGAAAAATTTTATTTACACATACTTGAATGAATTTGAAACATCACATTTGAAGAAACCATCAGAAAGCTCACATTCAGGAAAATTGATGAAAAATTCGAAAATTTTAAATAAATCAAAATAACGAGTATTGACATCCAGATAAATTTTTTAAACCGCTATTCAATCAATTCAGCTCCGATTCACACTTTTTTTGAATTTTACTTCGCTCGCGGATTACGTGGAGAGAAATATTCAATAAAAATTACGTATCGTTTCCGTAATTCCGGAGCGAAATGTGGTTGTAGGAAATTTTACGGAACTGTCACGGAATTCTTCCGGAGCGTTCCGTAATTTTTATCTGAATCTCCTGTGAAAAATTACGATAGCGTCACTTAAATTCTCTAAGTCGATTCTGTAATCGGTGAGTGAATTGTGAGTTCCGTAATTTTTATCTGAATCTCCTGTGAAAAATTACGATAGCGTCACTTAAATTCTCTAAGTCGATTCTGTAATCGGTGAGTGAATTGTGAGTTCCGTAATTTTTACTGAACATTTCTCTCCGTGTGGGTCGATACAACACAAAAAATCCAAAACTTGAACTTGAACGGTTCCAAAGTTTCCATTCGCAAACAAAAAAAAGAAATATCTCACGTGTTGTCCATAACCGCACGTATAACAAACACGTGATGATACATAACATAAAATCGTGTTTTTTTTTCTCTTTTGGATGGGAAGGGGAAGAAGGGCATATCGCATTGTCCCACAAAAGAGGCACGCATAAGTAGTGGAGGAGACGGTTGAGCACCGTCCACAGTCGTCCAATCGTACGGGACTGTGTAACATCGCAAGCCGCCCGAGTGAATAGCCCTCGATCTACTTGGACTCAGTCTCGCTCGTTGTCTTGCTCGAGACGTGTCAACTCAACTCAGCATTCAACACTTCTGACTGAAGATGATTAAGCAATAATTACGAGACTCACCGAGTAAAAATAAAATAAAATAACAACCGATAGTTTCATTTTTTAGTAATTAAAAGGCAATTGAGCTCGTTATGATTGCAATTGATCATTAAGACTGAGAGAAAATCAATGTGATTGCTGGCCCGAGTAATTAAGTGGCTGTTAAGTGGCACTGATCGATTGATTGACGTATTGTTTAGGTAAAGTAGTGGAGAGGGTGAGGACTTTGAGACATTGGTTGGTGAAAAGTGGGGTGTGAAGTTTTTTCATTCCATTTGGGGGGATTGTGATTGCCCTGGGAGATTCAAATTGGTACCGGGGCACAATGGTGACACACAGTATGGAGAATATTTTGAATATGCAGTATTATGCGGTGGCCAATCACGACGAGGCGCCACACTCGCCTTCGCGGAAGCGAAGATGTTTGAATAAAGAGGTGATTTTTTGGAAGTAAATGATAATGAACTTCGGGAGAGGCAGCGCAGAGTTTTTAATTGATTTGGGGATGTTTTTGTGGTGGGTGAAGGGTTCAGTGATTTGACATTCGATGATAGAGGGTGCGTTCAGGGAGAACAGTGATTCAGTGGATGTGGAAATTTTTATGAGAATATTTTTGTGGTTCTGGGCTTTTTTATATTGAAAATATTTTAATGATGAGTCTTGTGCAATTAAATCACTTTTTTGAGTCGAGTTGATTTATTTCGCTTCATCGATGAGTTTTCCGTTGAATGAAAGTGCCTATAGGGATAAATTCAGTTCATGTATATCATTAAATACCGGGGGATAATTAATATTTAAATTGAATTTTTTCACTGATCACTCCAATCTATTTATTATTTTTAGAATCTGTATGATAATTGAGAATTATTTGAATCTAGATGAACAAATATTTACTCATTATTTTGTTAAATTATTAGGGATACGAATTAGGGGTTTTCACTTGCTTTTCCCTAAACCATAGTTATTCCTACTCCAAAACCCTGTTTTCACCAAACTCATACTCTTAAATGCATAAACGAAGGTAGAATCGTCAAATAGTCGTAAGTTAACAATGTACACTCTGCTGTCGTGTTGCATCCCTGACGTTAATAAAAATCTTTAAAAGTTGAAAAAGTTGAATCATTCATTAGAAATTATCAGCCAATTAATTTTTGTTTTTTGTTCATGTTGCAGCAAGACCCAATGTCCCACAGAATAATCGAAAAGAGGAGAAGAGATCGCATGAACAATTGTCTCGCTGATCTGAGTCGGCTGATCCCAGCTGAGTACTTAAAAAAGGGTCGTGGACGTGTGGAGAAGACGGAAATCATCGAAATGGCTATTCGCCATATGAAATACCTCCAAGGGGCTCGCCAGGGTAACTTGAGTTCAATTAATCGAGAATGAAGAGATTTCAGCGGAAATTACCCTCAAACGATTTCAGTAGCGAAGCGATAAAACAATTAAAGCCGACTTAGCTCTGAGTTTTCGAGAAATATCTCCGAACCTAAGGGAGACAGCGAAATTTTTGTAATGACCTTTTCTACAGAGCGATTTGAGAGCTACAAAAAAGGTTATAACAAAAATTTTGCTATCTGCCTTAGGTTCGGAGATTTTCACTGAAAACTGACCCATAGTCGAAATTGACTTGAACTTTTTTTTATTTTTTTATTTTATCGTTAGTGTAAATGATTAATTTTTTGATTACAGACACGAAACAGCCGTCAGCAGCGCCAGTTCACCATCCAGAGGACAGTGTGGATAGTGTGTCCCACTCTCCAAATGCCTCACCAGCTGCTGAACACTATAGACTGGGGTTTCAGGAGTGTCTCAGTGAAACAATGCATTTTCTAGTTGAGGTCGAGGGGTTCTTCGCTAGAGATTCACTCTGCGTACAGCTGATCAGTCATCTCCAGCAACATTGCGAGAAAATTTTAGCTACAAGTGAGTTTCATCATTAGAAGTCGATACAAGTGGATAATGGCTTTTTAAAAATAAATGAGTATAGATCAACAGCGAAGTGGTCAAATGGTACAACTCAATTTTGACTATTGACCAATTTTTTATTATAATTATTACTCGAAATAAAAATTATTATTATTATTATTATTATTATTATTATTTTATTATTCATTTTATTATAATTATTAATTATTTTATTACAATGAGATTTTGAATGACTTTCGTTTTGTGTCTTTATTTTGATTTAAAAAAAACACTTTTTATTGATCTTTACCATAATTCCACTTCATTCAATGTTGCAACTTGTGAATTAAGGAAAAAAAATATAATAATAATAAGAATAGATAAAATTAAATTAATCTAGTTGTGAAGGTGGAAATTAAAATACAATACAATGAAGCGTATGAATTAACACAATAATTAAGTATAATAAATACTAATTCGATTTTTATTCAAAATTCCAAAGCTCCCACTCGGCGGAAAAAACGTGACTATATTTTCAAAAAAATTCCTCCCCAAGAGCTCAAAAATTTCAATAGAGAATTTTCGTTGCAGGTGATAGGCTGGGATTCCCCCACCCCGACCTGCCCCCTCAGAGCGGTTCAGCAGTTCCCACCTTCGGTCACACGAGTATGTCCAACATCTGCCCCCCCGCCAGCCACTCGGACCAGGGCTCAAGCTCGGGGGTGAGTTCGTTCGAGGACCCAGAGCGCCCCAGGCCGATAATTCCACCGCCAACAGTCGTCTCGGACGACAGCAATCACAGCCACACCGACAGCACCCAGTCCCACAGTTCGCCGTCGATGGTGCCCCACCAGAGGCCCACAAACTACAAGTTCAAGAGTTCGATAAAGCAGAGGTTTTCGGCGGAGAGAGTCAAGTCGAGTCCACCACCGTCGGAGAAGCCCCACGGAATTCCAGTGTTTGCTCTGCACGACGGAGGGAATTTCTACGTTCCCCTGACCGTGGAGTCGTCGGTTCTCAGGCCACAGCTGACGTTCATACCTGACGCTGGGCCTGAGACTGTTCTTCATCCTATCACTATTTCTGTTAACTTCAATCAGACGCAGGTGACGACTTGGGCTCAGGAACAGAGTCCCCATCACGAGCACACGTAGGTGCGGTGGGGACTGGAGGGTTCAGGAAACAATGTCTAGACAGTTTTTGGGGAGATTTTTTGTGCAGAAGAGGTTGTCTGATTTTTCTACTGGACGCACCGAAAATTTTCAGCGAAAAATCTAATCTAATCTAATCGAATTTAGTGGAAAATTCTATTCAACTTTCTATTGGTTTTCGGCTGATTCTACTGGCATTTTTTACCGCTTGTCTGAGCTTTTTTGTCAGTAAAAATGTTCAATGGAAATTTTTTATAGGGAAAGTCAATGGAATTCAATTTTTCTGGGTCTAAAAATTAATTTAGACTGTTGAGATATATTCTGTAGAAATTTCTGGGTTTATTAATGGCACGGAATTCTTTGACATGAGTAAATCCAGGAATTTCTATGGAAAATGTATAGAGAGATGAATTTCCACGTCTCTACGAAGTTGAAGATGAATTTGAACAGTGGAATATCGCATTTACAGTTGATCAGAGGCGTTCGCACCAAATGTTGTGCCATTTCTGAGCGGTTATCGTCCTATATTCCGGATTTTATCATTTTTTCTTTCATTTTCACAATTCTTATTGCGAGTTTGCGAGTTGGTGAGTGGCTACTGATCGGCATTGTGCACTAATCAGTATTAAATCTCTCTTATTATGATATTCTTTTGATACAATATCCACCGACAATGAACTGCTACTTGTGATTCAATCAATTTCGATTTTTGATTATTGAAAAAATTACTGAAATTCAATGAATATTCATTGAGTGTGAAATGTTTGTTTAATCCATTTGTTCTCTTTGTATATTTTTCTGTCATTTTTTTAATAGAAAGAAGAATGATTTTTTGATTGTTTTCTTTGTTCATTACGATAGAAATGATGTTATCTTTTTATATCCGCTCAAATTATGTGCAAACACGAGTATCAATTATTTTTGAGAGGCAATAATGTGACAAATGCCAATGCCTCGATTCATAGATGATTTAAGGTTCTACTTGATGCCCATTTGAAATGTAATATGTTAGTGGGAGGCCCTCAGCGACTAAAGACTGACCGAGACCTGCATTACATTAAATCATGATGATAAATATGAATTAACTACTCCTAAGTTCTTGTTTCGAATTGAATATATTTGTACATAAAAAAATGTTTAGGTTTAAGGTGATTATGAGTTTACGATGAATAAATTATATTTACTATAATTAAACTCTCTCAATGAAATATCTGTCAATTTATTCACGAATTCACTGGGAGATGAATCGAGAACAAACAATTTTGCAGATCCCTTAGCTGATATCTTCGAGAGTAAGAGGTTCAAGGAAATTTAGCGAGACCCATTATTTGTAGTGAAATAATTTGTTCATGAAAGCCTGTGCAACAAAAAGACTTTATTTCACCAACAAACAAATTATCAAAAAATTGGAATGGAAACAATCACAGCAATATCAATTGGCGAAACCACCCGAACAGTCATCCTTCGTGAAAATCAGGTATTAATCAATAATAATCACAGTGGAAATTAAATCTGCTCCAACAGAATAACAACTAGACGATCGAAATAATTATTAGTCCGAGAGTCGAGATTTTCTCTTAAAATCCTCGCATTTTATCAGCGATTTTCATCAGTCGGTCGTCCTAGAGTGCATTCTAGTTTCCATTCATCGATTTAGAATTGAAAACCCCTCTATCAGAGTCCACGCGGAAGAAACAAAATGATCTTTAGTGTAACCGATTCTTTTTCAATCATTTAAATCAACTATTCTCTAATTTTTCATCATAAAAATCAAATGTAGAGTAATTAATATTGAAAAAAAATGGCTTTACACTGGAATGATTCATTTCCAACTCCAAAAAAGACTGAGTAGAATCGAATAGTCATTCATGGTCGACAAATTCATCCATTCGCTTTTCCTCATCTGAAATTGAATTATGATCAAAGTGATAGTAATCCCTAGCATATGTGCGGTGTTCTGGGTGCATGGGTAAATTGTATGTGTAAATTTGGATAAATACGAGGGTTCAATACTACTGGGTAATGCAAGGGGGGCAACACTGAGTACGATAACAAACGATTATCGCTGGTTGATGGGGAGAGTTGTAATTTATCGGCAATTTTTGTACGCAGATTAGGATTTAAGATTGAGAGAATCCACGTTGTGATTATCTGGTGCCGGCGGCTTCCGAGGAAGCTTGATGGTTACTTCTTCTTCTGGGCCTTCTCCGCTGCCTTTGTTACTTTTCCTTGGGTATCTTTGAAGTTTACACTCTGGAAAGATGAAAGGATTGAGATATCGAGACATTATTTAATGCTGAGGCGATGAAATCAATAAGTTGACTTAGGCCGTGACTGAGTTTTAGAGGGATATCTCCGAATCTAAGGGAGATAGCGAAATTGTCGTAATGACCTTTTTTGTAGCTCTCAATCAGCTCTACAAAAAAGGCTATGACAAAAATTTTGCTATCTGCCTCAGATTCCGAGATATTCATTGAAAACTGAGCTATAGTCAAATAGACTTGAACGGTTTTACCGCTTACGACCTCTAAGAATTTTCTGATGCACGACCTGAATCACGTCCACTAGGAATAACTAGCGCTCGTAAACAACTCGCCCCCCAAAAATAGCCCAAACATCAGAATTTAGAATTCTCCCCAAATAGATCGAAACAATTTCCGTTGGCTTTCTACACAATAAACCTTGACGAATGATCCGTAAACATCTGATAATCACCTTGATGACACCCACAGCAACAGTCTGACGCATATCGCGTACGGCAAAGCGTCCGAGGGGCGGAAATTCTTGAAATGCCTCGACACACATCGGCTTCGTGGGCTGCAGCACAACAATAGCGGCGTCTCCACTCTTGACGCTCTTCGGGTTCTCCTCGGTGGTCTTTCCCGTCCGGCGATCGCATTTCTCCTTGATCTCGGCAAATTTGCAGGCAATGTGAGCGGTGTGGCAGTCCAGAACTGGGGTGTAACCGTTGCTGATCTGGCCGGGGTGGCTCAGAACGATCACCTGAGCTGTGAAGTCCTGGGCACCACGCGGTGGCTGATTCTTCGAGTCTCCAGCTACGTATCCACGACGCAGTTCCTTCACTGAGATGTTCTTCACGTTGAAGCCCACGTTGTCACCTGGCACTGCTTCCGTCAGGGCCTCGTGATGCATCTCCACGGATTTAACTTCGGTGGTGAGGGCCACCGGGGCGAATGTCACCAGCATTCCTTGGCGAAAGAGGAAACATTTTGGAAATGATGCATATATTCTTTATAATTTGAAAAATATATGGAATTGACTCATATTATAAATATTTTTTATACATTTTTTGATGGCGGATGTGAAACACGATATTTCCTCTCGACCGAGTTTGACCCTCAAATACCCCTCGACCCTTATCTTAATTTCAGCTGACCCTACCTGGTTTTAAGATACCGGTCTCCACCCTGCCGACCGGCACCGTCCCGATCCCCCCGATCTTGTAGACATCCTGGAGCGGCAGCCTCAGGGCCTTATCGGTGGGTCTTGACGGGGGGAGAATAGCGTCAAGCGCCTCTATCAGAGTCTTCCCCTCGCCGTTCCCGTCTTTCCTCTCGACCTTCCAGCCCTTGTACCAGGGAGTCTTGGGGGAGCACTCCAGCATATTGTCCCCGTGCCACCCGGAGATCGGGACGAACGCCACCGAGTTCGGGTTGTACCCGATTTTCTTTATGTAAGACGAAACTTCCTTCTTGATCTCTTCGAACCTAGAGATGCAGGAGGATTCCGGGGATTATTGTGGGTCAAATCGTGTGGGTGAAAGTATGTGGGTCATGTGGGCTAAAGGATGGGTCAAACGGAGATAGTATGAGTTGGCTCGCGAAGTGTAATCCCATGTGTCAACTAGGGTGAACAGGCATTGTGGGTCAAGTCATATGGGTTTAATGGGATGGGTCAACTCATATGGGTGTAGCAGGTCGCATCACATAACATGGGAAATATTATCCGTCAAAGTGTACGAGTTAAACATTATGGGTTGTATCGCAGGTCATAAATATTGTGGGTTAAATCATATGGGTTAAATGGGATGGGTCAACTCATATGGGTGTAACCGGTCTGATCAAAATCATATGGATTGAATGGATGGGTCAAAAGTAAATAGTATAAATTAAATCAGACAGGTAAAAACACTCGACTCAAACCTAGTCTCTGAATACGGCGGGTCCGTCATGTCCATCTTATTGACCCCCACAATCAGCTGTTTGACCCCCAACGTGAACGCCAACAGTGCGTGCTCACGTGTCTGCCCATTCTTAGATATTCCCGCCTCAAACTCCCCAATCCCAGCGGCTACAATGAGAACAGCACAATCCGCTTGGGAAGTCCCCGTTATCATGTTCTTGATGAAGTCCCTGTGCCCAGGAGCATCGATAATCGTTATGTAGTATTTTGACGTCTCGAATTTCCACATGGCGATGTCAATCGTAATCCCTCTCTCCCTCTCTGCCTTGAGCTTGTCCAAAACCCATGCGTACTTGAAGGATCCTTTACCCATCTCTTGCGCCTCCTTCTCGAATTTCTCAATCGTTCGCTTATCGATACCCCCGCATTTGTAGATCAGGTGACCTGTTGTTGTCGATTTCCCGGAGTCTACGTGGCCTATCACCACTATGTTTATGTGCACCTTCTCCTTGCCCATCGCGGAGATCTGGTGGCATCAAGTGGAGTGAATGGGCTGACATTGATTATTGGATCGCTCGGGGTGATGGGTATTTTTAGATGGAGAAATGAGGGGCTGGAGGGACCGAGAGGAGGGAGAGGGAGGTGAAAAAGATGAGGAAATTTTCGAAATACTATTTTTTATTGACATAAAATTCTCGTTTTTCTTCGGGTTTTTCAAGGTGAAAAAAATCAATTTGAAAAAATGGCGGTCTGTATGCAATAAATAAATAAATAAATAAAGACTATCGTCTTTTTTTTAAGACTATTGTTTTTTTTTTCAACACTAAAATTATTTTTTTTTTATTTTGAATAAGTTCCCAGATATAGGACTTGAGGGAATGGAGGGAAAGTGAAGAGGAAATTGATGGTTGGCTGGGAGAGATGGTAGAATCTCGAGTGATGAAATCGAATAAGGTTGAGGGGGTGAGGAATTACAAATCGTGATTCAATGCCCGAGGCGAAACCGGGGAACCCATAATCAGGGGCATATTGGTGGAAGTTTTACAATGCTGTGAATATAATAAAATATATCGAATAGGTAGTGTGAGGGCAATAAAAGCTGCAGATAGGGCTAAAAATAGCGCTTATTTACTCAATAAAATCGTCGGGTATTATCAACTTTCATGCTGTCGAGATCTTCAATATTTTCCAAAAATAAAAAAATTAGCAAAAATAACTGTACTATATGCAATAGAAGAGCAATTTGTCACTCATTTCTTTCACACGGAAAATTAATATGTCTACATTAAATTAGGAATAACCGAAAAACTCCCGTCGACATTCGATTAAATTCCTGATTGGAAAGAGATGAATGAAAAAAATGTAAATGCCAAAATGCTGAAAAATAAATCTTATAAAACATTAAAAACTGTCGTGAACCCTTTAAAAAAAGTAGAGGTTAAACAGATAATTCTATCAACGAGAATTGATTCTTTTGAAACCCATAATTTGCAAACATTATAAAACCGCAAATTGTTTTTTTAAAATTCCTATGAATCCTCTTCAATTGATTTCCCCGCGATAAAAGTAGGACTTGCAATTTTTATTTATCGAATTTACCGAGACCGGTAGAATCAATACGCCGTTCCGGGCCGGTTCAACCCTCACCCCGAAAACAATAAAATAAAATAACACGCATCCAGGGAGAGGTGAACAACCCCCCGACGTTAATGATCAGCTCAAAATATTTACATTACACGCTGAAGAGTAAATGAGTGATGGACTCACCCCTGTGGTCGTTGGCCCTGCTTAATTGTCCGGGGTCACGTATTTCAGTAGAAAGAGGCCCGCTGGTGTGGGACAAGACGGTGCAAACGTAGCGGGAGTCGGCCTCGGCACGGTGCGAGCTGCGATGCTTCACCTGCACCCCGGTGAGCTCTTGCGCATGTCCCAACAACATGGCTGAGGCGATCAAGCTTCCAATGTTGTCTTCTGATTTGCCCGCTTCTTCGAGTCGATAAAATTAGAAGAGATTTTTTTTTAATCAAAAAATTCCTTTCGCATGAGTGATGACAATTCCACGGCATAGTCCTAAGGAAATTTTTCTTGAGGAAATTTCGGGAGAAATTCACTGTTTTCTTAAGCAAAACGTCTTTATCGATGGAGTGGAATTATTGGTTTTTCTAAATCACTGACGGCGAAATTAATGCCTGCGTATTATGTCGGTAAACAGCATAATGAAATGTCAGGTGTTTGCAAGATTTCAAAATGGACCACAACAATTTTTCTTGTGATCTCACTCAATTTAATTGATAAATTTATGACTTATTGGTTTCAATTCCAGATCATAAGTCCGTAAAAAGACTTTTTTGATGTTCAACTACCGTTTTACCTCATTAAATCGTCATAAAATTCCATCACCCCAAAAATAATCCACCACCAACAAAAACATTACATAATAAACTTCATCAAGGATTCCCTCAACAGTTCGATCGTGTTTATCGCATCGAACTGACGCATTTGGAATCGAAAACCGGCGATATTGGAATTTTTACGACTGAAAAATGCGCGAAACATGATGAATCCCAGAAATAAACCCCAGAACACAGAGATGTGATGACGGCCACTGGTTTAGGAATTTTTTCTCAAAGAACATCCTTTTCCATTTCTATTTTGATGAACTTCAGTCGACTTTTCGACGCTCACCCCGAGCTCTCGTTATTTATTTTCGTACCGTACAAATGGAACTCATTGAAGATAATGACATTGAATTTTATTGGAACAACATACGGTATATTGGGAGTTATGAAGTCTCATGCGTTGTAAATAACATTTCACGGTCGACAAATAGTCTTTGTGTGGATGAATATTTCAAGTGCATGAACAAAGAGAAATTGCAGATGTGAAAATCACTGTTTATAATTTTATAATTTCATTTGACCCTTATGAGGGTCGCATGGGGTCAGGATTTTTATACTGACGTTTGATCCCTGTGAGGGTCACATAGGGGTCCAAATTTTAATGTCGGTGTTTGACCCTTGTAAGGGTTCCAAGAGGATTGGGTTTGCGTTGCTATTTGAGCCTTACAAAAGTCACAAGGGTCCAAATTTTAATATTGACGTTTGAGTGACGTAAGGGTCAAAATTGCGCTATTGAGGGTTGACCCTTGTGAGGGTCAAAATTTTGTTATCGACGTTTGACCCTTATGAAGGTCAAAATTTTAATAGCGACTTATTGAGAAATAATTTCTCGACATCAATGACATTCCTCGGAGTGAGTTGAGCGATTTAATCCGGGGTTTTTCTCATGCTTTTGGCACGAAAGTCACCCGAATATTAGTCACCGCGAATACCTTACCAGCAAGTAGATTGTCCCCCGTGAGTGATGACCACTCTTACCCTGGATGTCTGCCACTGTTGGTTGTCGGAAGTGAAGAAACTTCAGCCATCCCTATCACTGTATTATTACAATAATTATTGAAATGAGGTAATAAATAAAGTGCGATTGGTCACTACTGCGTTATTCGCCAACACGTGCCACTTGGTGATTTTTTATTTCACGTTTCTCACAGTGTGAGATAGTTATTTGGGGTTACGTAATGACTTTGGTGGGTGTAGGACACGTGCCAGACAGTGGTGGGTATTGAGAGCGTCATAATTATCATATTTTGACTGATCAGAACAATAGAACAGGAGACAAAAAAGAAAATTTTGAATTTCAAGGAATATTTTAACAAGAAAAATGGATTTTTCGGTTTAATGAATACTTCAGAACTGGGGGATTCTACGAAAAATATCAAAAGTTATTTTTTGTAATCCATAAAACTTGAATGCACTCTAGGATAGGATCATTCTTCTTTCTATTAAAAAAATGACAGCAAAATATTCGAAGAGAACAAATGGATTAAACAAATATTTCACACTCAGTGAGTATTCGTTGAATTTCAGTAATTTTTTCAATTATTAAAAATCGAAATTGATTGAACCACAAGCAGCAGTCCATTGTCGGTGGATATTGTATCAAAAGAATGTCATAATAAGAAAGATTTAATTCTGATTGGTGTACAATGCCAATGAGTAGCCATGAACTCGCAAAATCGCAGTAAAAATTGTGAAAACGAGAAGAAAAGCGGAAAAATTCTGAAAAAAGATGGTGACTGCTCAGGAGTTGACTCATCATGTATTTTTTATTTTTAAATTAATATTCAAATGATTTATGACAGTACACACATTTCTCATCCATCATCACTCGAAAGCCATGTGAACCAACATTTCGCGGCCTTCAAAAACGTCCTCCCTTCTTCATTTCCTCTCAACAATTCGAAATACCTGAAGCGTCAGGTCAATGCTTCACTGCAAGGTTTTTCCCCCAAGAACAACAAAAATAGGGAAAAAGAATAATCCTTATATTTTCAACATCATAAAGATCACAATGAAAGTAAACACCCCGACATATCACCCCGACATATATCGTCTCAACTGGAATCCGCAAAATATGAATTGAGGGTAATTTTCAGTTTTAGAAATTGTGAAATATCGGATTTTCACACAGATACGCCTAATTACCTCGCGATTCAATAACTCGTGCCAAATTTACTGTGGATGATGCGCACTTTATTACGAGGCTTTCTTCACACCAGCGAAATTATTCTCGCTATTATTTCCGCTTCATTGTCTCGTTGGGTAATGGGTTTTTCCACTTTTGTGATGGGTTAAAAATTATCCGAGGGACGACAAAAATATTAATGACCCCACGCGACTCTTGTGTGAGCTTTTTCGGTTGTTTCAGGGATTGGATTACCTAATGATAATTTGAAAGGTGAGAAAATCTTCAATAATATTATTTTAATGAGGTTTAATATAAATATGATGCATTGCATCAAATAAGGAGTAATATTTTGCAGAAATTTTGACAAATTGTTTTCAACTTTTTTTTTATCTATGAAATCATTTGTTAATTTCTATTATTTAACTAAATTTATCATTTATTTGTTGCGTGGAATTGATTCGTTGATTTCGGGGGTTAAAAAATTGAAAAATGACTTTTATTAATAAAAAAAATTAGAAAAGAAAATACACATTTATTGAATTGATTTTTTCGATATTTCAAAAAATCTTGGGATAAAATGGGTTGTGTTGAATGGCATTACATGGAGTCGTTGATTCGATCCCGTTTTCTGGCAGAACAGAACACTTGATCCGTTCTAAATTGAGAATGATATTGTTCAATTGACGCATGTGTTATTGTTCGTCAATGGGCGCGAGGAAATTCTGCGTGGACGTGGATGACCGTCTCCGCTGATTTGCTCCACCACCCGACGCGTGAGTATCCCCTGAGGAATTTGAATTACTACAGTATGCGGTATACACCAATGACGTAGCGTTCATTCAGCCTGAGACGACGCACAGCTGAACTAATTTCGTACTTCCGGCTAAACATAGTAGCGTGAACCAGACGTTTATCGGTCCTTTTTAGGCAATTCGGGGTGTGGATTTTTTAGTGAGAGTTTCCACAATTTTTCGGATTTTTGGGGGGAGGAGAAAATATAATTTTTATCACTTGTGCGGAAAATAAAATTTTACGTTCGCGTCGCGTGTTTGATTGATTGATTTTTCGGTAAAAAAATGTGAACATTAAAATTTAATATTGAATCGATTTTTCAATAAACTAAATATTGAATCTTCAATACTTGTCAATTTATTTATTCATTTATTTAGTTATTAAAATTCTGTCTTATGTATAATAATTGCTATTAATACATCAAAACAATTTATCCGCAATTTGAGGTGAGATGTTCCATCAGTGTGAAACTCCCCAAATGTTCCAGCAAATGTTTAATATTCCTCGACAAAGATAAACTGCCACTCAAGCAATTCCCGACACCGACTCCCTCCGGAATGTCGGCGAAAAAATATTCTAATCCCATGGCGCCGTTGGAAAGCCATTTATTTGATGTGATAAAAACACTGAAGACACTAATAAAAATCAGGTTTAAGTTTGAATAAAAGCTTCATCACGATCTATTTCAGGAATCTCATTCTTTCGGCTCGAATAAAGTTCATTATATTCAAATGAATCATTTTTCTGGATCTGATGGGGTGAGGGAGTGAAATAATTCCATTTTGAATTTTTCAATCCTCATTCGTCCGCATTCGGCAAATTATTATTAAAAAATCAAGGAAATTTAATTTCCCTTTTTGAAACATGATTTGTCTGGAATCATCGTACAGCAATTAATGATTTTCCAATCATTTTCACGTGTTGTTGAAAACACGGAATAAAACCTTTTGCAGTTTATAGACACGTGTCGAGAAATGCCCGGTGACTTCAGAGTTGTCTCTTCAATTTTCTGGCTGAAAAGTTTCATCAATCGAGGGAAACCTTCCTCAATAATATTCGCGAGCGGAAGTTGAGGGGCTGTGCAAGGAGACTATTTGCGTTCTCCTGTGAGCGACTGGTCCGGTATTATTTTCCAAAAATAATTGAGATCCTAAATCGAGATGATGGGACTGTCGAATAATTTAGTGGGTTTTAATTTTAGAGGAATGAGCGATTTGCGATCAAAAGTCTAGATTAAATTCGGGAGTTATATTTGGGTTGAATCCGGGTAGAATTATTCGTGTTTTAGAGATTGAGGGATATGATTAATATGGCATATAGGAGGTTTTGCGAGATCCGTACAATTTCACCCGTTAGCTTTATCCCGTAATAGTTTACTGTGAAGGCGAGGGTTTTTCTTCATTTTGAAACTATTTTCCTGTGTTTTTGAGGAATGTCCGGTGTTGGGGAATGTTTAATTTCATTAGACAATAGTTTGCAGAGTGAAAAAAAATTTTTTACTAATTTTTACTGTTTTTTTATTTTTTCAATTTTTTTTGTATGAATTTTAAAAAAATCTAAAACGTCCACTGTAATGTTTGTGGGTCTGGAGTTCCTTCCCTACGTTTTTTTTGTAATTTCAGTTTTGCAGGGAAGAATTTTCCGGGGAACAGGTATCCTAGAGCCAATTCCGGCTGAGCGCTGCGGGATTTTTTCTCTCTAAATTCCAATTCTCTTTGAATTTTTTTTGTGTCCTTTTGAATTCCTTCGCAGCGAATTTCTGAGCCTTTTCCCTCTGCAAATGATCTCAAGCTTCATGAGATTTTCGCAACGCAAAATATCTCCATCCATCACGAAATTCCTCAGGACCCGGATGAGACCGTCACCTCGCGCCTTCATTCTTCCTCACCTTCTGTCCACACTCGCATTATTCGGTTTATAACCGGATCCACCGAGGCGCTCGCCCGGCACTTGAAACTGGCAATGAACCAAATAAGCGTGCGGGGGAGAGGAGCCGCAATATACAAAATTGGCATGGAAAAGACACTGAGTCGAGGAAAATATTTTTGCCGGTCTGTAAAAGATGGAAAATCCGCGGTTTCTGCGTGCCACACGGTCGGATTTATATAAAGAGCACCGACCAGTGGCGGGACGCTTTATTCACGAGACGCGCCTCTCTCTGGTGGCATCGGTACACTGAAGTATAAATCAGAACAAATCGAGCTTTTGGCGCTGAATTTGTGGATCAATTCCAAATCAACCATTCAGTATTTTTTTATGCAGATTGAATTTTTTAGTTAATTAGAAAATAGTTTGAAAATTGAAGGAAAAATATTTTTTTACCTGTGAATTTTTGAAGCTACACAATGTCTACTGCAATGTTTGTGAGTATGAATTTTTTTGCTACAATTTGTTGTCATTATTCATTTTCAGAAAATGATATTCATCCCTTTTTAATAACAAGAAAAAAAAAGAATTGGATTTCATTTCTGTGAAATGAAATTTTCAGAAATTTTTAGAATTTCATTGAGTGAAAAATTAGTTGGAAAGAAATGGATTCGATTCAAGAAAATAAAATATGCTATGAGTAATATACAATGGAAAAAAATTAACAAAATGACCATTCGGAACCGTATTGCTAATTTACTAGCAAAAATAACTATACTATACGCAATGCAGGAGCGATTTCCCACTTGTTTTAATTTTACGACGAACTACTTGAATATATTGTGTTCAGTTTTTGAATGAATCAATGATTCAACAATGAATGTAATATGTAATGCGGGGTGTTCACGTGTCAATAGAATGTACTCACTCGTCACAGACGCTATTAACTTGACAAAATGCCACGAGTTGTCTTATATGATCAGGGCCACACCATGAGGAATCTCTGGATGACATCCAAATATCTCGCATTTCCTTGTTCCTCCGATCGTCGCAGACCCACCCGATTTATCCGGGTAAATCAATTCACAAGACGGGTGTCAGTCGAGCTGTCGTGTTGTTGGATAAATCAAGAGGTCCTCGAGTGTTTTATTTGCGAGTCAGTGTATTTCGTACTTTGATTTATCATTGCGGAGGTTTAGTTATTCGAGACATTACATTTATTTGTTATGAAAGCGTTCATGGGGTGTCACTTCTCGAGACATTTGTCATGGTGAGGGATGAGCCCAGGAATTATTTTATGATTTTTTTTTAATGTCGTGTAGAGGATTTTTGCTTCTTGATTATTATGAAATTTCATTCTGAAAGTCTTATTTCTTACGACATTTTCAGAATAATCTGAACGTTTAATATTTAATTAAATTAATTGAGAAAACTACTAAAAATTATCGTCAAATCTTCCTTTGAACTTCTTCTTTTTGGAGGAATTTCTCAAATAATTCACAAATTCCTTCTTCAATTCATCAAAATATGATTATTGTCGGCAAAACGGCGAGAAACTTTTTTTGAAGATAATAAAATTTTCTTTTTTGTCAATACAAATAATTGATATTATCCGATTAATATCTTCAAAACCAGTAGATTTAGAAAAAGTATCGAACATTTATTTTTTCAGAACACAAAATTTCCGATAAAAAGCCTCTTTAATTACTCATTATTTTGTTTGCAATTTCTGCTTTTCCAAGATATTCAGTGAAGAGTATGAGAATAAATATTGAAACGTCTGTAATTTCACTTATTCTCTAGAGTATTTCCACCGATTTGTGATAAATTTTTGCGAGAAAGTGGAGGGGATACCGCCACCGACACATCAAGGCAATTTGTCAAGGTCGATAGGTCACTACCGGGGATTAGAAGCTCCACAAATACTCTCTTCTCCCACTTGACACATGAAAAATCGCGACAGTTCACGTTCCTCAAGACGTGTATGCGAACTCATCTGACGTGAATAAACCCACAAAATCAAAGTTTCCAGTTGATTTTTTCGATTGAAAATCTATTTCGTGAAAGAGAGAGGAAGTGTTGAAAGGAGATAAGTGTCTTTGGTTTGCAAATAGCTTCGAAGGGGAGGGCTTCAAGAGGAAAATGCCAAGAGAACTTTTTTGCAGATAATCGAACTCGATACGAGCGCAGTTTATCCACCTTTTTTATATTTGTTTATTGTCCGGATAAGATATCATGATAATGATCAGGGGGATTTAATCATCGACAAGAAAAATCGATCGGTTTTTTAAAATTTTATGGCTCTTTATTGAGATAATTATGTAATTAACAAAAAAAATTATTTTCGTCGTTGGTTTTAGTCAATTATTCGAACATCCAAAGCGGAACTGTTCATGCGGAAAAATATATATTTTGAAAATTATATATTTTATATATGGAATTGGCCTGATTTATACATAAAAGTTATCTTTCTATATTGCAAAAATATAAATCGACTTCTGGTGATGAAAATTTGGTACTCGAAATTAAGACTTAATAAGTCAAGGTCACAAGGGTCAAAATAAGGGTCACGAGGGTGAGATTAAGGGTCTCAAGGGTCAGAGGGCGTAGCTCGCATATGTTTCATGTATATTTTATATGAATCTTATACATATTCGAAGAATATATTAAATTGGCCTATATTTTATATATTTTTTTACATATTTTTTCATGGCGATGGACTCTCATTGTTTTCGAGCTCTGAAAATGAATGAAAATTCATCCTATTCTCTGTTTTGTGCATTCCAGGAGTCATTGAGCGATAAAGTTGCGATGTTCAACCAGCAAGCGAACAGCCACATGGCGAGTCAAAGCAAAAATCCCTTCACAAGTGGATTAAACCTTGACAGGCCGAAATTCTCAAAGGAAGAGTATGGAAGACCAGCGGCTGGTTCATTGTCAGATATACGTGGCCGCAAAGCGACAGCACATATTCTACGAGAAATGTTGGAGCTTTGTGAAATAATTCAGCAGAATGGTACTCCGTGCAAAGACCATCCGGAAATAATGGGGATTACGTTTGGGGATTTGTTCAATATTTACGTTGCCATTAGCGATAAGTGTGTGGGACTTCTTTTGAGGGCGAGGAAGCAGGGGATGGTGGAGTTCGAGGGCGAGGTGCTCTTTCAGGTATTTATGATTTTTGGGCGATCGAGAAAAAATTTATTTTGCCTTTTTTGCAGAGACAGAACTACGATTCAAAGACAACACAAAAAAATAGAAATTTCAATGAGACTTGCAATTTCAAATTGAGGCTTATAAAAATGAGGCAATTTCAAGTTGAGACTTCCAAAAATGTCAATTTAAGTTCATTGAAATCTCAGAAAAAGGATTTTCTTCCCGATTTCATAAGAAAGATTTCCACGAAATGTTTCCTATCTCCTCTCCAAATTCAAAAAAGATGCATTTGGTAATTCGAAAAAATTGATGAACTAATTTTTTCTGTTGAATCTGTTATTTCTAGAGACGAGATGACGACGTTCCAATATTCCTCGTGAAACCCATCGCGGAAATTCGAGCCTACTTCAAACAGAAGATCGAGGACGCCAAGAAAGACGTTCATTGACGAATAATCACCTCTAAGCCCGAAAATGTGTAAATGAGTTCTGTGCGAGAGTGTGAATGAACCTGTTGTAAATATTGTCAAGTGTCATGCGATATTGTGATATGTAATATAGACCCTGGTCCTATAAATTTTTACATAAAACATTGAACAGTTTTTTCGATTCATTTTCTGTCCTCTCGTGAGTTTCATTTTTTAGGAGAGAGTGGGGTAAACAGCGCGGTATTCACAAATTTAGCCGTCAGAAATGTTGAGTGGAAAATATTCTGTAGAAAGAATCAATAGATTTCAGTTTTTTTACCTTTTTTCTCCCTCCACTGTAAAAAATCAAACGCAAAATAATTTGAACGATTGTAATAATATTCTCGCATAGAAAGATTGAATCAAATGAGAGAAGAAATATTTAGTCAGTAAAAACTCAGGTAATTGCATAATTTATATATTTATATACAGTTCACATTACAATGCGCATTATTACATAATGTATAGCTCCAGTAGAATTTAAATTCTTTCAAACGTTACAGTCGCAGTATGACGGTATCAAAGTAAAAAACTAATGAGGTGTAAAACCTTCGCGCAGAGGTAACAATTACACAAACGAACTTTATAAAAGTTCCAACGCTGTGTAATCATGATTTTTAAACGAGGCATAGACTCGGCTCTCACTCCCCCTCATTTGTCTCTTTTAATTAATTTTCAAGGATGTAGTCACGTAATCGGGACTAACTAAGTTGGCAGTTTAAATTCGAAGGAATTTCTTGGGATCGACGCGCGAAGATGTAAAGGGTTCTTCGAAGTTTCAGTTCTCGAGGATTTTTTCAATTTGTTTTTCTTAGTTCAGGCTGTCCCAGCCGCTTGGGACGAAGCTCGAACAGATTCAATGGATTTTATTGGAGATGTATTGAATTAAACTCACTGAGAAAAACAATTAATTCTGCCGATAAAATGTGATAGAAATTTCTGGCGTTTGCCTGGAACAAATTCAATTGGCAAAATGAATTCATTTTTCGAGTGTTTGCGTTCGATTTTTTTGAGGGGCTAGTCACTCCTGAAAGTGAATGGGGTTTGTCCACACAATTTTACTCTTACGATTAAACCCAAATTTATTGACTCATTCAAAATCATTTAGAAATTTGAGGAAATTTGCGAAAATCGTGCATTTAATAAAAAGTGAGCTCTTCTTAACATTTCCGTCGGATGAATAAATAATATCAATTGTTCACACTTTCGGAAACCTAATTTTTTTAGAATTGGAACAATTTTTTCCTCACAACCGCAATTTTTTAATTATTTTATGAAGCTTTCTCATAAAAATTCATGTTTTTTATTTTTTTTTAGATTTTGAAAATCTTTTTCAAAGTTTTAATCGAAGAATCACATATAGATGAAAGTTTAAATAATGAATTATTCATTGAAAAATGAACCCTTTAGTTAACCAATCCTTTAATTTATTTTATTCTCTTTCATTCAGTAAAAAAAATCATTTACTCATTTTAGTCACGAAAAAAGAACCGTAAAAAATTCATACATTCAAAGTTGAAATGATAAAACAATCGTAAGATGTCTCGTAACCTAGGGTCAAATGGAAGCTCTCATTTCAAATCATAAAAGTTGAAACAGAAATCAACGAGAAAAAAATGCCGAAAATATTCACCGCGAATGTCGGAATGAATAACCCCTCGCTTCATTATCTCGAACATTTTCAAAGTCTTGACGTGTTCATTGGCTGATCTCCCCACCTCAAGGACGAGTTTCACATTAACAACTAAACTCAACCGATAAAAATTCCTCCTTTTGTCACTAAAATTACTTGTGCATTTTCCGCCGAATTCGTGGCATTCGCTTGTTGATTTGTCAATCGTAGACTGATATTACTGGCCATACGATATGTAAGTAATTCAATTAGATATGTTCGATGTAAAAAATCCAGGAGTAAAAGTCCCGATAAAAAAACCCATCATTTAACAATTTTGTAGCTTCTGTTTCACATTTGTCTCATGATAGATATGTCAGATTCATTTCGATTGGAATTTCCACTCTACCTTCAAATGGTTGTTTCGATAATCGAAAATGGAACCAAAGTACAATATTTTTCTCGTTAAATTCATTCACCAATCCATCTGATTATTCATACAGAGGCGAGCCAAACCCATCGATATGTGCGTTTTTGTAAAATGATGATTTTCCCAACGAAAATTTAATTGTCAAGTCGAAAAATAATTTACAAACAGGAAACTTGCATGGAGCTCAATTGTTTCAGTTTTTTATTCACTTTTGTTGCTCTTTCTTTATGTCCTTTCCCCTGTCAGATTCAATATTCCATTTTTTAATCAACTTTGTTCGAAAAAAACATTAGCAAACTCACTACTAAGAAAGTTGAATTATTCTATTTTCCTCTGACCTGAATGATTTCGATAATTATGATTCGTTACCGGTAATGACCTCCCAAGTGGCATAAGTAACGCTGGGCAGCGCTCCATTGGTCGAATAAGAGGAGAGAGGGGAGTTCCCGTCATCCATTGGCTAAAGCGCACGCGAGGATTGGGTTAGGCTGGCGTTAGCCATTCTGTGATTGGCCCAGCGTTCGACCAGCCTTGTGACGCCATTAGCTGTTTCAACGCGTTTGAAATCTTCAACATTTATCATTTTCAAAAATGAAAAATCAGTCGTTTAAGGCAGAAACAATGAAAACTAGATGAAAACATTTGAAAGAATTCATGCAAGTTCCCTATTCTTCCTTTCGTCTGGAAAACAGAAGATGTTTTTCTCAGTTAATCGCCCAAACGGACTCATCTACCTCGCAACATCTACAAACTACGCAGGGTTTGCGTACTGCCTCGAAGCGTCTTCTAATCTCAATTTTCCATCGATAAAAAACACAATTTTGGGTTTTCACTTGAAACCACTTCACCTCATACTCTCGTAACGCCCTCACCTCGCCTCATTATTTCAACAACGTATACAATTGTTAATTAGTTTCTACCGAATCATTCGAGTAATTCATTGATGAAAACAATGAAGACAAGTTCACGGGAAAATCTCCCGTTGTTCTTCAAATATTTCTGAAGTATCACATTCAGAGAAAAATGCCATTAGATCTTTTGGAATTGTCTTATTCTCTTCATCTCATGATTCGCCGCTGATGCCTCCAGAAAATGGTAGTCGGGCACTTGTCCCCCGGACAAAGTTCCGCTCTTTAAAAATTTCTTGGACTGAATTCCCGAGAAAAAATTACACCGCAGTAAAATTTATTGTTCGGTAGAAATGAAAGAAATTCATCTCACAGGGAAAAAAATTAAAAATTGTATTGAAAAATAGAATCAAATCTAATTGATTGAATATTTAAGTATTTTTTATCTTTTTTTGTTTGTTTTTCGTCAAATAAAGTCAAGTGACATTGAGATGTCCCGATTTCTTCTGTTTTGTCATTATTTCTGTATTGCCTATGCGAGAATTTTTTTGTAGAAGATTTAGTCCGGGAAATTTTGTCCGGAGGAAGTCTCCCAGAATCCCAACAAATACCTAAAACGAGAAAAAAATAGCAAAACATACAAAAAAGGAAGAGCTAGAATCATCGGAGAAATATACAAAAATTGGATGACATTAAAAGGCCCAATTGTGAGTTACGTTTAGGTCGTTAACAACATTAGCACAATTTAAAATCACGCAGTAGTGAGGAAATTCACGAGTGGTAGAAGAAATTACGATTATTTACATACTCTGTGAGATATGGTTATTCTTTCCTTATTCTCGCATTCACTCTCCCATTCATCAATCGAGTGAACAATCGTCGATTATAATTTCGAAAATAACATATTTATCAGAAAGGAAGAGGTGAAGAAGATAATTCCGATTGTTCCCCTCAATTACCAAATTATCAGCCACCTGACTGAATTCGTTATACAATTTTTCATTAACGGTTAATAAGTTTTATACTCAATTTTCTCATCGCCGTGCGTATTCTTAACTCGTAATTAATCGATTTCATTAATTTATTTATCTTTATATTCATAATCTCGAGGTGTCCAATAAATGGAATGTTACATATCTATAATTGATCGATAGAATTCAGAAGTGAAGCGAGAGAAATAGGATATAAATTAAAAAAATGAGTGATCTTTATTTTTATAAGGTTTCACTGCTGAATCCATCGCATATCACGCACGACCAAAAATCACAGGGAAACTAGCGGATTTGACAGAAAATTCTATTGAAATTCTATGGGAAAGTAAGTGAAAATGAAAAATCAGTTTTCAAAAAATTCTCGAAAAATCTAATTCCATCGACTTTTTTAATAGAATCGTCCAAAAACTTACCGAAAGTTCAACAGAAATTCGAAAGAATTCCCCAGCGAATCCGCTAAATTTCTCCGTAAAATTATTTCCCACGTGATATCTCTATATGTCCTGCGCATTTATAAAAAGCTTCAGCTACCCCAAACAATGTTCATCATCTACTGGCATAACTCAACAGTCCATTAAAATACATATTTTCTATCTATCAATTATCATAATATTAAATCTCTCTACCTTAGACTCAAACATAACACCAAATTACTCATATAATTACTTCATGATAATCATCTCCGTACAATCAAAGTATCTCCGCAATAATCAGTCTTGATATACCTTAAAGTGCCTGACGGTCACGTGCGAAGAATCAAGCAGATCATTAATTCATACGTAATCCCCTCCTTCACGATAATCTACCATTAATTAATTTATCATTAATTACTCTTCGTTTCTTTATGCATGTCTTAAAAATATATTATTGTCCTTCGATGAAAATGTAGCACTTAGTTCATTAATTCCCCCACATAAACACTTCACAATTAATTTAACCATGTGATTGTTCGTTGCAACAATCGATTTTTCAGATTTTTAGTTAATCATCAATTAATTAATTATTGGGCGATCTCCCCAGAGTGGTCTAGTGGATACGGCGCAGAGTTAGTAATCGAGAAATTCGGGGTTCGAATCCCAATGGGTTCATTTATTTTTATTTTTTGACCAAAATCAATTAATTACCAATTAATCAATCAATCATCTTCTCTGTTCTCACGTGTCTTCCCTTCAAGTGAGTATTCTTCATCATCGTTAATTGTACTTGAGTGAGAATACTAGTGGACGTCTCATTATCTAGAAATGAGTGGAGTGGCTGTTGACTATCATACATCGTTGTCGTGACAGAAGTCGATCTTCCGTCGTGCCAGGGGTAGTCTTCGCTTGTCGATGATGAAGTCCGTCACGCAGCCGCGGACACCCTGATGCCCCGGCTTTCCCCCCACAAAGAGCTTTCCATTCGTCGTGAGGAGTGTCGCCTCCGTGGAAACTTTGACCGGCGGCTGCTCGTCAATTTGAATGATCGTCATTCTCTTCTTGCGAGCTGCCTTTATGTGGTGAAACACTCCGTCGTCTATTCGCTCGCGGGACTTCAGGGTCACGTGGTCGTGTTTACCCTTGTAGGTGAGGAGGACGTAGCCCTCCTCGAGGGAGAGGATCAGGTGTTCGAGCTTTCCTCGGCCGATCCAGGCGATTAGACCGTTTGAGTGAATTGTGCGAAGGCGGAGCTCGAATTTGTTGGACTGCTGACCTTTGCGTCTGCAGGAAGAGAATATGAAATTATTTTTTTCTGTGGGGACATAGTCATTCTTAGTATGAGGAATAGAATGCAGAACTAATGCAGTCCTCCGCTGGAGTTTCTACGGGGGGTCGTTTGTACAATATCGAATGGACACATTCTGTTTTGGACACGTTCGAGGGAAAATGACGACAGTACGCGGTGGAGCAGATGGGCACGGAAATTTGGGGACATATTCCTGGATGGACAGATTCTGATAAGGTGGTCAAGAAGGGCTCGGCATTGGAGATATCGTCAGGAAATGTCGTACCAGTCGACCTGTTTAGTGTAGCGGCATGGTGAAAGATGGCGGGATTATTCTCCTTTCGAGCGGAATTAATAACTGAATCGAACTGGCCATCGGGCAGTAGAATATAATAAGTTAAATCAGCCAGTGGAAAAGTAAATGAGCTATTAGCAACGAGAAAACGGTTTTGTACGATGCATTTAGAAATGACGGCGATCTTTTGAACACACGGGAGGCGCCAGAAATGGCGAAATGAAAAATTTTTTTTTTCACGCGGAGCCATAGTGTCATATCTTGGATTTTTTCAGGGGAAAAGTCAACTTTCGCCAAAATCGAGTTTTTTCGCCCGGTGAAAGTGGATTCTGGTTATTTAAGGGACGGGCTATCCAGAACTATCAACAGTATGGGGGAAAAGTCAAAAATGAAAAAAAAATTTTTTTCATCCGAGGCCAAAACTGTCGTATCTTGGATTTTTTCAGGGGAAAAGTCAACTTTCGCCAAAATCGAGTTTTTTCGCCCGGTGAAAGTGGATTCTGGTTATTTAAGGGACGGGCTATCCAGAACTACCAACAGTATAGGGGAAAAGTCAAAAATGAAAAAAAAAATTTTTCACCCGAGGCCAAAAGTGTCGTATCTTGGATTTTTTCAGGGGAAAAGTCACCTTTCGCCAAAATCGACTTTCTTCGCCCGGTGAAAGTGAATTCCGGTTATTTAAGGGACGGGCTATCCAGAACTACCAACAGTATGGGGGAAAAGTCAAAAATGAAAAAAAAAATTTTTTCACCCGAGGCCAAGTGTCATATCTTGAAATTTTTCAGGGGAAAAGTCAACTTTCGCCAAAATGCAGTTTTTTCGCCCGGTGAAAGTGGATTCCGGTTATTTAAGGGACGGGCTATTCAGAACTATCAACAGTATGGGGGAAAAGTCAAAAATGAAAAAAAAAATTTTTTCGCCTGGGGCCAAAACTGTCGTATCTTGGATTTTTTCAGGGGAAAAGTCAACTTTCGCCAAAATCGAGTTTTTTCGCCCGGTGAAAGTGAATTCCGGTTATTTAAGGGACGGGCTATCCAGAACTATCAACAGTATGGGGGAAAAGGCAAAAATGAAAAAAAAATTTTTTCCCCCGAGGCCAAAAGTGTCATATCTTGGATTTTTTCAGGGGAAAAGTCAACTTTCGCCAAAATCGAGTTTTTTCGCCCGGTGAAAGTGAATTCCGGTTATTTAAGGGACGGGCTATCCAGAACTATCAACAGTATGGGGGAAAAGTCAAAAATGAAAAAAAAAAATTTTTCCCCCGAGGCCAAAAGTGTCATATCTTGGATTTTTTCAGGGGAAAAGTCAACTTTCGACAAAATGGAATTTTTTCGCAGAAACCATGATTACCATGTTCACGTAGTAATTTTCAATGTTATATTCTCTCCGTGTGTGGGGAGTAATTAACAATGACTAGAAATTAAGGATTGTTGGATCCGCAGGTCGATTATTCTGCGAATATCTTCAAAATGGTTGAGTTTAGAGGGGAATGTCAAGAGGCTTAAGCTCAGCTGTTCCAAAATATTCAGGAAATAGTGCATGAGTTCGCGAAGCACTCAACGTAAATGTAGGCTTGGGCCAGACTCACTTACTCTGAGTAGTCGTAATTATCGTATTCGAGATCGAAGTCCTCTTCGAATTCATAGTCGGAGTAAGACTCCTCGTAGTATTCGGAAGTTGCAGACGTTACGGTGCTGGTAGATGTGTTAGTGCTGCATCGCCGAATGAATAGCTTTGTTAGTCGGGTTATTGGTTAATTGAAGCATGCGAAAGTTTTCAGAGATAAATTTCATGAGAGTGTCGATACCGACCTTCTACTGTAACGATGTTTGAACTGGAGGAAATTATCGCCGTCGAATCTCACAGGTCTGTCTGATATTTCCCCACCAGAGACGTCGAATCCCATGACTGCAATACACGAAAGAGCACTTGTCAGAACACCAACGAAACCAAAAAAATACTCCGTTTTACCGAAACTTACAAAATTCGCAGTGCAGCCCGCTGTAGCCACTTGCGCATTTGCAAAGGTAGCTATTCAACAGCGGCAAACACACACCCCCATTGTGACAGGGATTTTCGTTACTGGGACACGGTAAGCCGTCGTACACTTCCGTATTGTGTTGAGTGAAGTTTACAGCCAAATTCTGGAAGGTTTTGCCATTGACCATTAATCTCTGAACAGCGCCGACTAAACCCGTCCAAGCGCCAGCAAAGCGATGGACCTCTCTCCAGTGTCTGGAAAATTCGAGGAGTATATAAATTAATCTTTGAGTTATTAACTTAAAAATTGGGCCCTTCGAAAATGCGAACTCGAAAATTCACTTTTGCGATAGCGAATAGCGAAAAGACATCAACACCGCATGCGCTAGTGAGCTTAACATTTCAATTGAACTTCACGTTCTTGCGCGACATTGACGGAGAAACAATACTCACTTGACCCCTCCAATGTAAAGCGGCATCTCCAGATTGAGTTCCGTCAACGGATTTCCGGAGAAGCCCCTAGCCACAGTTCCCTCATCCAGCTGCAGGAGTCCCTCCCTCCCGAGCCTGCTGATCCTCACACAATGCCAAGTATCAAGACTGACGACGTCTGGCGAGGTGATATTAGCAATGCCACTCCCCAGATTAAACCTGAACTCCAGCCTCCCCTGAACCAGATTCAGGCTGATGAAGTCCCCCCTTCCGTTATTCATCTGCCCGTTGTACAGCAATAGTCCGTCGTTGGCCCTGGTCAGGAACCAGAGTTCAATAGAAAACGCCTTGGAAACTCCCTCGAGCGATGCCAACTCCACGAAGCCGTCTCCAGTGAACTCAGGCACAAGGAACTCCGTCAGGTCAGCGTCAAGGACATCGCAGTGCTCGCCAGTTCTGCCCGGCGGGCACTTGCAGACGTAGCCCCCTTGCGGCAGAATGTCACAAACTCCGTCGTTCTTGCACGGCTCTCCGATGCAGGGATCCAACGACTCCTCGCAATTGACGCCTGTAAACTGCGGAGGACACGTGCACTTGTACTCCGCCGGCGCATACTGCGTGACGGCGTAATTGTCGTGCTCAAAGTTCGGCTCGTAATCCAACTCGTAGTCGTAATCACACTCCGCGCCCATGCACTTCCTCTTCGGGTGCTTCTTCGATCTCTTCTGTTTGGGACTCCCCTCGACAGTTGTGCAGTGCGATCCTTTGCACTTGACGATGTTGATCCCCGCTGTTGTGTGCCCTCCTTTCCGCTTGCCTTTTCCTCTTCTGGGGCTCGAGCACTCGCGGCCGTTGCACAGGTCCTCCTCGAAGATCGGCTGACAGGTGGCGCCGTTCTGGCACGGGAGGGACGCGCACGCATTATCCGTGCACTCTTTGACGCGATAGGTCTCCAGCACCTCTTTGTCCTGGTTGATGTGCAGATCGACTGACGCTCGGTTGATCTTCAGCTTTCGGATGCAGCCCAAGAGGCCTTGGTTCGTCCCAATGTTGTCGTAGACTCTGCTGTAGTTCGTGGGGACGTTGCCCACGAAGGTGTCTTGGTTGAGGTCCAGGGACTTGAGAATCCCCTGGGATTTTCCGTCTATGTCCTCGCCGTTGTTGAAGATCAGGACGCCGTCTTTGTGGTAACGCTTGGCGGTCGCGTGGTGAAAGTTCTTCGGCGTGACGCGGTCTGGCGAGGTCAGGATCACAGGGCCGTTTCCCAGGTTGTAGCGGAACTGGAGGTAGCCGTCGATGATGGCGAGGGAGACGAAGTCCCCGGTTCCGTCGCTCTTCTGCTGATTGTACAGGATTATACCGTTGTCGGCGTATGTCTTGAACTCGACTTCTATGCTGAACTTGTGGTAGGCTTTTAGGCGGTTCATGCGGACGTAGGACTTGCCGTCGAAGGAGGGAATCTGGTAATCGCGCTTGTTGATCTCTTCGTCGCAGAGGAGACCGGTGTAGTTTGGACGACAGATGCAGACGAACGTCGAGGAGGGCAGGTCGATGCAGGTGGAGGACGAGTGACAGGGGAAGGAGAGACAGGCGCGGAGGTCTTTGGAGGGGGTCACGGGCAGGTAGTTTGCTGGAAGGTAAAGAGAAATCATTTGAGATTTTTTGGGGTGATGGAAGTCTTTTGACGGGCGGATGATCGCATCTACGATCGCGGATCACACTGGGAGAAAAATCTGTTCTTTGGGGGGGTTGAATCAATTTTCTTGTGGACGATAGAGAGTTTCCACCAAAACACGATAATTTCAAGAGGACGCTACTATTTTCTTGCCGCAAACTGTGTCATTGGCTGAACTAAATAATTTCTTCTTCTTCGTTTCTCGTCAATGGATTCTTTCTATCGCATAAACCTATAAAGTTCTCGCAAATCGAATAATTGTCGTACAATAGATTAGATTTCCTCTTACCAACAGTTCGAATTCTTCTAAAGAAAGTGTGAAAGATATTAAATTTACTTCGAAATGAGACGAGGACTTCTAATTTGGGATGCTGTTGAGTGTATTCTGCACCCGCAGGATAGTTATCACCCTAAATATGTCTCGTTAGTTCGCTCCGATCGCGATGCAAGAATTTTATTTACCAAAGCACTCCTGTCGATCGCTCGTCTCCGAGAATCCACTGGAGCAAGTGCACCCCCCACTGACACACTCGCTATTCGGTATTGTGCAGTCCTTATCGTCATCACAAAGATCCCCGAGGAGTGCAGTTACCACGCGAATTGTCGCTGGTGTCGGTCTTGACGCCGCTGCGACCCCTGGAAACCCATCGTCATTATCCGCCGCAATAACAACTCATGGGAAGTGAGAAAAGGAAAAATTACACGGGGCTGTATCTTCGATATAGCTGTAATTGTACGTGGATACGTCCATGGTCTTTCTTTCGTTCTCGAATTCTCTAGAAACTCCTTGAATTTTTTTTCGAAATTTCAGGAAACTTCTCGATCTACCTCGAAATGTCTAGAATTTTCTAGACTTCCGATAGATGGCGCTGCACATAAGGATCGTTTCTCAAAATGGCCCTCCATATTGAAACCATAGACTTATCCACGTCAAAAGAGAGTGGAGAAAGGAGTGATAAAAACAAGGGGTCATTCATTTCTGAAATGAGTATGTCACTCAGGACTGAAATCATATGAAACCAAGGAAATTGCATGAAATCATTGAAATCTGTGAAATGACTGTGCCACCAGATTTCCAAATGAATGGCCCCTCGGATAAAAAATACTGCGGGAGCTCGTGTATTACCGTGTTTGAGATTGTCTCGGTCGATGGTGATGGTTTCTTGCTGCGCCCGATGGGTGTAGTAGTACCTCGCATCTGGCTCGGGACCAAGAAGATGCCTGGTTGACTTGGACAATGGAGAAATTGCTGCGGCTGGCTGCGTGTACTGGACAGCTGTAAATCTCTTCACTGGGAAGTCTGTATTCACTTTTGGATCGTCTGGAAAATTTTCAATAAGGGTTCTGCAGTTTCTTTTTTTTTTGATGCTTCAATCAGTATTAGGATTGATTAATTGATTAATTAATTGGCCACTAAATCGCCGATGAAAAATACAGTAATTCAGCAGCTCAAGTGCAGTGCTGAAGTGCTCGGATTATCACATTTTTCTTTTTTGACAATTATCTCACGAGGGAACGTCTCGATGAAAAAAGTTATAAGATCTTTTCTGTCCGGAATTCACCGATCGACAAAAAAGCTTATATGACATTTTCTCGTACGGCCACTCTTTACCGCGATAATTTGAGAAATTATCAAAACGAACCCCAACCCCAAATTTTCTGCTAACCACGTCATTATCTCGAAAAGGAATGGTTTTACAAGAAAAATTTATAAAATATTTTTTACAGCTTACGAAATTCCCTGCAAAAAATTTTTTCTGACATTTTCTCCTAGACCTACTCATTCTCGAGATAATTCTCCATTTAATTACATCTCATCAATGGAGACGGATGAGCATTTTCAGGCACTCGAGAATTTCAGCTCGAGTCCCTCGGAAATAATTAGCCGACCATAATGCTCATTTATCCTCGAAAACTCATCATTGAAGGGGGAATGGAGGAGGCGCGGGAAAGCGTTCCTCCGGAAAATAAGACGGTGGAGTGCCCTTTGATATTCGCGTTGTAATTCATAAGTAAAAATGGAATATAAATAGGGAAGCATTCAGAGGCTAATTTCAACAGGACAAAACCCAGCAAATGAAAAACCGTATCGTTGCACTCTGCAGGATCTTACGAGTGGTTTGATGGAAATGGAGGAAGGGAGTTTAATTAATTTCCGTAACGGCCTGCGCATCCTATTATTTCACTTCAAAGGCTGACTTTCATTGGTTTTTCCACTTGGCCTCAGATTCGTGGGTATTATTTTAATGCTTGGACCTTTTGAGCTGTTGGCTTCGTTGCTGGACGGTTTTTGCGAGGTGAAATAGGGTAATAAATTGTATTTTTTGATGGTGCAATGGCATTTTAATAGGAGGGGCGGCTATTTTCAAAAGATCATAACTCCCTCAATTATCAATATTTTTCCATTTTTCTTCTTTCAAAATGATTGTCTAATCGCCGTCGTTTCAGAAAAAAATTGAGAACAAAGTTGACTTTTTTTCCTGCCGATTTGGCGCGGCGCTCTTATAGGAAACATGGAAATTGTGGAAAAATTGCCTCAATTGTCCCCCCCATACATTAGCATTCTCAAGCAGTATTCGACTGTAAAAACAAGAAACTACCAAAGAAAATGGGGAAACCTGGTAACCATTCCCCATCGATTTATTCGTGCCTTCCCTCAAATGATCATCATTAGTCACCCCTGAGGCTGTTCCCGAACACGTTAAATGCATCAAACTCTCTCATTTTTCGATACTCGGTACTGTGCCCCCACTACCCAGCCGAAACGACGTCATCCATTATTTACAGGATTCAAAGTACCAACTAAAGGATCACAAAGTACCTTAGCATTTTCTCCCTGCAAATCTCCCTCTGTCTCTTCCGTTTTCATTTCCCCCAAACCCGTCGACAGTTGACAGAGACGAAGAGCCCCGAAATAATCCTAAGAGCTATTTATTCCTTTATTACTAATGCCTGAGATGATGTTATTTATTCACTGAGCGAAACTGAATCGTTGTTTAAAAATAGAGTGCACGGCGGAAATATTTTTGCTCTTAATTAACGAAGTTTTGAGTCGTTATTTGGAATCACGCGACTTGAATCCCACAAATATATTCATTTCTGTGGGATTCTCTTAAATTAATGAGTGTTTGTTCATACAAATAAACAGTCATCAATTAATAAAAGAAACTAACAAAAAATAGTGGAAGGAAATTAATTGTTTGATATCGTCACAAGTGGTTTATTTATTTTATGAAAAATCATATAATTATAAATCTCATATTTTCTGTTAGAGAGATTGAATTTTAACACTCACTAACAACTCATTTTCAATACACGAAATTTCTAAAAAAATTATATTAGTCGTAAATTACCGTGCGTGATCTTAATTGTTAGCTTAGAGCATCGCTGAGTCGATACACTTTTCATAATTAAAGTAGCGAGAGTACGCGTGCCCCTTTTTAAACATTCTCCATTCAATAACTACATTTTCTATTTTAAGAACAATACATTATCGATCTAAGAATTATTTTCTCGCTGTTTGAGAAAGGCGAGATAACAGACTGAAAAAAAAGTATTTTTTTTTTAATCTCTTCAGCCAATTGATAGTAGGAAGGGATGAAGAGACGGGGGTGTGGGGTGGCTGGTTGGGGCTGAGGGTGGGTCATCTAGTTTAATAGATTCAAGTAGAGAAGAGCGGGGAAAAGAGGCAACTCCGGAGTTCCTGGACAGAGTCCGCCTTAAGACTTTCCTTTTTCCTCGATAGAAGTTAGCGAAAATCGTAAAAGCCATTTCCCCTCGACATTACTAATTGTTATTCAATTCATTCTCTTTTAATGATGTTTCTTTATTTCTGCAGGGCCATTAATTACTCCGAAATAGTGCTGGAATTAATTGTTACGTTTTTATTCAATGGAAATGAACTTCTTTTGATACAACTGGAGAAAACTGTTTTCTTTTCCAGACGAGACAATTGGTTTTGCTTGGGAACGGGAGGAGATTGATGGGTCTGATTCATTTTATTTAAAGTAGTACAAAGGTAACTCAAATTCTGGAGATTAAAGTCTCGAATAAAGTCGGAACGGAAGTGAATGTGAATAGAAATATTCTGGCTAAGCTCACGCATTCAACACATTAAACTCACATTAAAGAAGGGAATTTATATAGCGTTTCACATCTTTGTGACTTATAGGAGGGGAACGGAGATTATTCTCAATATGAATAGAAAAATAAAATTTTCTCAATATGAAAAAAAATGAAATTTATTTTAAAAAATATTTCGAACACAAAAAATTGTAATTGAAATATCATTTTTTGTTCAGCGATTGGTTTTCTGAGAACAATAGATTCCCTTCCGTCTCACCTACGTGGCCGCCCCGCCATAAATACCTTACTGTCTTCATCAAGTTTTCGAAGAAAGCGTTTTCCAGAATTTTATACTTCGGAATACCGAAGAATTCCTTTATTTGACGTTCGCTTTTTCTCCGTGTTATCTTGCCTCTTAATTCTTCATCGTGAATGATATTTTTTCTTATTCATTCCGCTTTTCATCATTGAAAGAGAAAAAAAGAAAATAGAGATCTCCGGGCGATGAGCGAGGAGATGGGAGATACTGTGGTGCATGAGGGCGTAAATGATTCAGTAGTATATTGAGAGGCTGGGGAGGGGGAGCACATGTGCTCTTTTTGAGGTATGATGTGTGCACGTGTGTGGAGAACGTAATAGTCGGTTGACTGGCCGCACGAGATGCACACAGTGATTTACTTAAGTTCACCTTTGAAGGCCAGTTTCATGAGTCAACTTTGCTCAATTACCAGTTTCGGGGGAAGTAAAAGCGCAGCGGGTTTTATCGATGAGCGGGTGCGACGAAAATCGAGGGTTCATTGAAGGTTTTTCTGAGGGCAGTATTTTCGCGTGAGTGGGACATTTCGAGGGGATTCGGGAAACGAGAGGCATTCACTATTCTCTTCTAATCATGGAGTCATCTCGATTTTTTAAAGAGAGTTGAATTTCGCAGAGAGAATATTTGAGGTTTTTTTTGTTGAGGGCAACTATTTGCGAGATAATTCAACAATTAAGGTCCGGCCCCATTATTTCCCGAGCGTTATCTAAATTGATTTTTACAACCCGAAAATTCTGAATTTAGATTGAAAAAAGGTAAAAAAAATCTGAAAAGGTAAAAAACTTTAAAAGGGCGGCATTAAGGCAGGTGAATTGAAGATAATGTTCAAAAACATTTTCTATAGAAGAGAAAACTTTCTACAAAAAATATTCTCATTTTTTACTAAAAGTACTTTCAGAGATATTTTCGAAATAGCTTTAAAGTTCTGAAGGGTCAAATGCAATGAGTTGTTCATCAATTACGCACTCATCTCTGAAACGATTGATTTTACAGAATAATTGCAAAAAACTTTTTTTACAGAAAACAAAATTCCCCGCAAAAAATGTTTTCTCCCATTTTTCGCTGAATACCTGCAACGGTCTCAGAATATCAACCAATAGGGAATAATTATCAGGCCATGAAGATCATTAGTCTGTGAAAACTCAACAGTTTTATTATCCCTTATTACAGCCAGCCATAGCACCAATCAAAAACTCCTCAATTCAACAATTAACACACATGTAATTAGCTCATAAACAAATAAATCATTAGTCTCACTGTTAGTATCATCATGATGTCGAGTTATTATCGATTGTTTAGCGCTCTGAGCGGTATCAACAGCTCGGAATATCTCAATATTTCAATAAATAAAGCGGCACATAAGGCGAACGTTCTGTGAACCCACCTCGGCAACGGCCAAACGCCTGCGTTACAACGTCCGCCTGATGACGACAGGCATACAAACGTAATTCACACTCGTTTGCGTATGTCTGTCCATCGCTACCACAAACTGGCACTGATGGTACATCAGTTGGACAGGAGGATGGACACTCGCAGTGAGGACCACCGCCAATTTCAGTGCAATGACCACCGGAATAGCATTCCAACTCGTTACAGCTTGTTGGCATTGTTACACTCGTGTCCGCTGGAATTGAGAGAACATTCTTTGAGTCCGTGGGTATTGGAAATTTTCATCGACCGACTGCGTCCGTCTTATTTATGAGAGATGAAAGTTTTTCGATAAATAAATATCGATTTAACAAGAGGATTTTTTTAAAAATTATATTCGACAAGACGATGATTGCAAAAAATGCACAAAATGTAACAAATGCAATCGTCGTCTTGTTCATAATTCACTAGTCAATTAACAAGTCACCGACTTGTTAATTATGTAATTATGCCGGGATGAATCGACTTCCTACAAGAATTTACATATTTTTGAAAAATATTTTCGACTGTAATGATTCTTCATTGAGATCATTCGCGGTTCAAAAAGGTTCTCGTTCTGCCTTAAAATAACTCAAACCTGAGAAACATCCGGTGGGTGTGAGGATCTTATTATGATCCGTGCAAATAGTGCACTTTTGCCCCTGGATCTGGTGCTTGCAGACACATCGTCCAGTCATCTGTTCGCAATCCTCCCGGACGGAACCGAAGAGGGAGCATCCGCAGGCTAACAAATCCCATGAAACATTCGTCACAATTTTTTAGCAAAAATGTTAACGGGAGGAATAACCATGCACGCGGAGAGAAAAGTTGGATGAAATTTATTTAGAAAATCGAGGCAGATTTAACTAGATTTGTACGAAAAGCAATCGTGAAATGAAATATAATTCAATGATAAAATTCCTGTTTGTGGAGGATATTTTACGACTCGTTCGGTTCAATTAAAATTATTTTTTCGTCCGTGCATTTTATACTGTTGTCCGTTAAAAATTGCAACGTTAAATCGTAAAAATGAACTTTCCATCGCAAACGTTCGCTTAAACCCTCACGTACGGCGCCCATATAACGCGGCTTGTCCCAACGGACGGGAGAGTTACGGCGCGTCAACTCTGTTATTCAATGAACGATAACTGGAAAACAGTCGAACGAAAGAAATTGAAAAAAAATGCATTGGCTGTATTGAACTTTGAAATAAACTCCTAGAGAATTTCCTAATCTTTGACACCAATTTCAATGTTTGCCGACAATTGATTGCCGAGATCTTCGACCATGTTAAACTTATTTATAATAAACAAATTATTCAACAAATCGAAAATTAACTTCTGCGATTCGACAGAAGGATCATTGAAGTATTTTCAGTAAAAATTTCAAACTTTCTGGGGGAAATTTTGTCGATAAACGAGGTGATTTAATATGACTGAATCGGTTGGATGTAAAATTCTCATCTACGATATGTCTCTCAGAATTCGAGAAAATGATTTTCTAGTGTTGACGGAAAGGGTCGATACCATGCATTGCCCCCGGCCGATAGTACAAGTTTGTGGGTCGATGCATGGCATCGACTCTGTACGTGAGGGGTTAAAATAAATAAGATTCCAATGTTCACATGTAATTTTTAATTTCATCTTCTCTCGGTGTGGTATTCACAAATTGATCTCTTACGAATGCACCCCTGATGTCCCTCGCTGATTTTCGGTAATCCCCAGTATCCCGGCATACACCTGTCACACTTAAGACCCCCAACGCCCGGCCGACACTCGCACTGTCCGGTCTCTGGATTACATGTGTCGGAGATGCTTCCCAACCTGTTGCAGTTGCAGAGACTGGGACAGCCAGCGCCGTCAGGTCCCAGTGCAGCAGTTTTGCCGTCTGGACAGCAGCCGTGCCAGGAGTCCAGGCACTTGACGACTTGAATCCCCTGGACTACTCGTGATATAAAATGTTGAAGGAGGAAAACCATGAGCATTTCGCGTTCTCAAGTAATTGTTTGGAAATTTCAAAGGGGCCGTGTACCTTTCTTGCAGCAGCGTGCAAATCGGGTAGTTTGGTGGCAGTAACTATTACTCGGGCAGTCACGTCTGTCTGGACCACTTCCACAGTCGTATTCCCTGCCCTCGTCGTCGGCTAATGGGGGATCTCCACTGCAGGGTTTTACTTCCATACCTGGAGACATTTATTTGGTGAAGAAAATGGAGGGGGTGGAGAAACGGGGAAGTCTGAGGAGTGGCGTGATACAGAAATTTTTGAGGTTTTTTAATGTTTTTTTTTAGTGGAACATGTGCTGTTTCAGGGGATGATTATAAATTATGGATGAGGTTTTTTATTTGCACTAGCTGGTGCTGCCGGCGTCGCCCGGGCAATTCCCTTCTTTCGTCTCTGATTTTTGTATTTGAAAACTAGGGGGCTAGGCACTCTGCTCGCTTCCCTCGCCAACCCCCATGTGATCCCCATATGACTGTCATAATTTTTAATCTAACCCTTGTGGCCATTGTTATGACCCTCGTGACCCTTATACTGACCCTTATTTTAATTTGTAATTTTGAATTTTTTAATATAGAGAGATACATTGAGGCCCTTATATTGATCCTTGTAACCCTTAGTTTCTGACCCCCATGACCATTATTTGGACCCTCAATTTGATCTTTGTGATGCTTAATCTGATCCTTGTGGACCTTATTTGACCTCGTGACCTTTATTCTGATCCTCATGACCCTTATTTTGACCTTCGTGAGCGTCATTTTGAGTCATGTGATCCTTAATTTGAGAGTCTTAATTTCGAATCCTAAATTTTCATCATCAACAGTCGATTTGGAGTTTTTATAATACAGAGAGATGACGATTTGTTAAGAATTTCCCCGAATTCTCCAGAATTTTCTGTAAAATTAGGAACACGTGACCTTTATTCTAACTTTCATGGCCCTTAATTTGACCTCGATGACCCTTTCATTGACCCTCATGAAAAATTCGGTAATTTTTTTGAATTCTCTCAAAAAAACCATTCTGATATAAAATATACTCAATTCAGGTACATTTTTTTCCGTGAAAGCACAAAAGCGTTAATGAGGAGAGGATAACCCCGGGGATCCACGCACCTTGGCACAGATCGAGAGGCCGGAGTCTGAGTTCCTGCTGCCTCTGACAAGCCTCAATCTTCATGAAACAGGCTGACGGATAAATTTTAAGGTCACTTCCGCAAACTGGCATCGCACTCTCCTCATTATCAGCGGTACAATCAAACTTGCAACTACACCTAGGAAATTTATCTGGTCCGAGCTCACAGGTGGCCTCGAAATCACAGTGTATGTCCTTACACGCCTCTCGCTCCTGAGTGCTCGTTACCTCGGCAACGGTTGTTGGCAGTCGTGTCACCGACGGTGTTGACATTGTAGCTGGGGTTTATACGAGTTTTGGTTAATGGTTAGGGGGACAGGGAAGCACTGCACTGTTAGTAAATTAAAATTTCGGGGGGGAAGTGGTAAAAACGATTCAAGTCAGACATCGAGTTTTTCCAACTTTTCGGAATGTTGGTTTATCTCGGTGACGGGTGGTCCTAGCGGTAATTCTTATTAGACATTTTTTGTAGCGAAGAAAATTCTCTGCAAAACGTGTTCAGCAACATTTTTTTCAAAACCCACTCATTATTGAGATAATTAGACAGTTAACGAACAAAAAATTACAGCTTTACAGATCTTAAAATTGAAGTGGAAATCGAGTGAATGCAAAATAAAAAGTCTTGGAAACTTTTTATAGAGAATAGAATGCTACAAAAAATGTCTAGAGACACTCGAATCTGCGAAGAATCATTCATATTGGAATAATTCAACAAATTAATAAATAATTAGTGAAATTTCATTGCGAATTTTTTTCTATTTGTAAATATCTCGAGAGAGCGTAGTTCCAAGAGAAAATGTCATAAAACCTTTCTTGTAGAGGAGAAAATTCTCTATAAAAAATGTTTGTAACATTTTTCTCTAAAATCACTCATTACTAGCGTAATTAAAAAATTAGCAAATAATGGACAAAAAATTTATTCTCACATTTTTTATGACTTTGGTATTACTTCGAAAACAATTGATTTTAGAAAAATATATCAATAAAATCAATATTCATTATATGATGAAAAATTTGTTTTGAATTAAACCGATTACGTAAATAAAATTGAGTGAAATTGAATCGTTTTAACCCATCTCCCGTGAATTGCCTCTTCCCCAAGCCTTGAACTCGGTATCAGCGCTGGTACTGAGTCCAAATTGATAACAACTAATTTGAGAGAGTGTGGGGAGTATTGGAAACTTACTCAGTGCAGCAACAGCGAATTTCTCACCGCACTCTCCATGAAATGCTACGTGCAGACTTGGAAGTTTACTTCTGAGTTTGTCGCAGGCAGTTCGTTGCAAGTCGCACTCGGATGGGTATGTCTTTGCGTCAGTACCACATACTGGCTCGCCAGTTGGCTCTGGACAGGTTTCGGGACAGATACATTCACCCGCCGAGCAGCGGGCGCCGTTTTTACACTCGACGTTGGAACAGAGCGCTGGGGTGGAGAGTTTTTCATTGTTTGTTAGAACTTTTTGGATATTTCTTGGAAAATTCGAGTGAAAGTGGAACGAATGAGGAAGAAAATGGGTTTTGGATTGAGCATTTTGAAAACCAAGTTTTTTGCTGGGAAATTGACGAGAAAATATTTCACACTGAGGAAAGAAACGATGAGGGGCGATTTAAGGGGTAAGAATTATTAGATAAATTGATTAAACTAGACTTGGTTTGAGGACTCACTTTCTTGTCGTAAACAAATAATTCTCGTCGACTGAAGGAGAAAATTAGGTCTGGCGAAAAATTTTATGTTCCCCTGAAGACATTTTTTGTCGTGTTCAATAGAAATTCCAAGAGGAAACTACAATTTTCTTGTCGAAAACTGTTATTGGCAAAACTAAATAATTTCGAGGGGACAATTATATCTGGGAAACAAATATTCTTTCAAGAAAGATATTAAATTTCCTTTCATCAAGTTGATTAATTGCCCTCGAGCAAATCTGTTCCACTCATAAAATATTCTCACGTGGAACACAATTGTTCATGACAAATTGTTCATGACAATGACAAAATCTCTATTCCCCATCCACCCAGCCGCAGCAATTACCTCCCCCCTCGATCGATATGCCCCCCTCTTAATCACTTCTTCCCCAACATTTTCATTAGCCGATAAAAAAAATTAACTCACAACACTCGCCCTCAAAAGCCACCGTAATGCTGGTCTGGGTCGTGCACGATGCATTTTGCATCGCGCACTCATTAGCATAAGTAACCCCATCACTTCCGCACACCTTCCTCCCCCCGTCCTTCTCCTGAAACAAGAGAAAAAAAATAACATCTCGTAAAATCCAAAGCCTAGTCAACATTGAATGATAAATTTCCTTTAATTCCGCTCCACTGAATCTCAAATAAAGGAAACACTCGTAACATTTCGTTCACTTGTTGCGCATTCAGCCTTGCATATGGCTCCCTCCCCCTTCCACCCACCCCCCTTTATGAAATGTTATACTTAATTAGTCGTGCTTATATTCATTTCATCCAGCCGTTTGTTTGCTCGTTAAAACTTTTTTCCTTCACTTCCACAACTTTCTTTTTTCGTTTCATTTCATTTTTTATTTCTTCTGGGTCTTGCGCGGGACAACTGGGGAAATTGAAGGGGCCGGCGGAGGGGGGAGG